TCTCTCTCTCCCCTTCTTACCTATTTCATCTCTGCGCTCTGCTCTCTTCTCCTTTGCATTTCAATATCCCCAACCCGCACCAAAATCCACTCAGCCGCACGCGTGTGCTGCAAGACCTTCTGTTTCGCGAGCCCTTTCCCGCGGGCAGAATTTTTACTGACTTTTTCTGGTAACGGTACCTGCAATGGCATTTGAAAAATGTCATGATTCGTTTTGGAACATTTGGTTTTTATGTCACATTCCGAAAATATTCAAATAAGAATTCAAGCAATACAATTTGCCGATTATTTAAATTGAACTTTTTCCATAATGAGAAATAATAAAAAGGGCAATTCGCATATTGATATAAACTGAAAAAATTTCACTATTTAAAAAAATAAGATTTAAAAATTCTCAAAAATTTAAAAGACCCGAACATTGGAGACATATTTTTTATTTGTGTAAAAAAATCTGGGAAAGTTAAAACGTTAATACTTTTGGATTTGACGTGCAGCTCTGAAATTAAAATAAAAGACATAAAATTCTTCACTTTTTAAAAACTTGAATAGGAACAGTTTTTCTTGAAACGTGAGACATGACGAAAAGGGGAAGCTTTTCCACAGGCTTTGCTAGTAGTTTTGGGAGAGCACGTGCCTCCTGATGCAGGTACTTTACATACGCAAAAGATTTTATAAGAGAGCAAGAAGCGCCGTGCTTTATATTAGCAAACGCATCCCTCGCGCTCTGCGCTGCTGGGAAATCTGAAACCTAGCACGCTTTCTCTTTGGCAGCTCCGGATTTTCCACAGAAGCGAGTTTCGTCTTCCTCTGCTAGAGTGGAAAAAAGTTTGCAGCTTCTCTCGTTCCGCAGAGGAAAATAGCAAGGAGCTTGAGGTCTGGGAAAACGAAACCTCCCGATCACATAAATTTCAAGCCGCGCGCGCCTTTTCTATTATCCGAGCTGATTATCGGCAAGTGAGCCCGATTCTTATCAATTTTCAGCCCAGAGATCTGGGAGCGCGTAAATTTTTTAAAGCCCTTCCGCTGGGAATGAAATGATGCTGGGGTTCGGGGATGCTTTTCAGCGTCCGCACCATAGATTTGAGAATCTGAGATTTCCATCTGCCGACCCGCAGATTTTCTGAATATTCGTGCAAATATATAGCAGTTTTACAGCCTCGCTGAATATAAATGAGGTTATTGTTTTTAATAACAACACATTTGAAATTACGCGTGCGTGTGCTGTTTGCTGCATTTTGCAATAATTTTGGCTCAAATTCTTGTTTTGCGCCGGCTCGGCCAACGGATATATTCGACGCCATCAGCAAGGTAGTTGGGGATAACAGGTCGGCCTGCGCTTATCAATGAAATTATTTCGCTCGTAAAACGAAATTACCGCCACAGGATTAGACCCGCATGCTGTGCATAATTACTTTGGTGCGCGAACGCAAAGTGGCCCAGCTGGCGAACGATTTGCATGATTATTCAGCCGCTTTTACTAGCTCTCTTCTATTTTTGGACAGTTGCTTTTATTAATTTTCCATTCGTGGACTGAATTAATTCGTCATCCCCATGGCGGCACTTTCCCTTGCCAGCATTGTTTGCAATTTGTCGTTTTATCTAGATTTGCAAGGATCAATGCACGAAATCATAAGCTAACCAATAAAATATTATTCTGTTTAACTCTTCCATATTTGAAGTACCCTTTTCATTCTCAATTTACAGAGCATTAAATAAATAAGATCCTAGAAAATGAGCTAAAATTATAGCGAGAGTCATACCTCATAAATATGATTTTTAATTGGAAATTGATTATTCAGAGTTAATTATTATTATTATTATTATGATAATAATTATTTAATATAAAACCAAGTAAAAAGAGTAATCAGAGTTAATTTTTGCTTCCGCAACAAGAATAAATGGAAATTTTAATAAAAATATTAATTTAAATAAATAAATTAAATAGTTGAATCAATAAATATTAAATTGAAGCAAGCAGATCTAATTGAAGGCGTTCTTAGATATTAAAGTAATTTACTATATAAAAAAAATGTTCTTCATGTTTTCTATTACACCCAGCATTTGTGGCCAGTGCGATGTATGTTGAAGGAATTTCGTTTCTCCTTCTGCAATTTCGTTGCACAAACAACTACGCAATTTGGGGAGGGAATTGATTTTGCAGTAATTGAATTAGGCAGCGGTAAAGAAGGGAACGCACGTTGCTCTTGAGGGCTCTTGGAGAATAAGTGCACAAGTGCAAGCAAACTGAAGAAAAGCGACTGCGGGCATGTGGCAATTGTAAATAATGCAAAAAGAATAAGACTCAACAATGCATGGAGTGGAGCCAATTCCCCAGAGTAGCATAACAGCATTGTGTCTGTCTGCATCTTACTGCAATAAAAACACTAGAGAGTGTGTGTCTGCAAATGCACACGGCATTTTACTTACTCTCGACCCAACAACGGGCAAGTCTTTCAGTTCCCCTCCGAATGGCCGCTGCGCTGGAGCAAGTTGTTGTCTTTTAAATGCTGCTCAGCAGTGGGTAAAAGCTCTTCTCTCGACACTCCAAATCATAAAAACAGCACCCTCCGCCGCGTTTAACATTTATCGCCTTAGCCAACCAACTCTGCAACAACTATACTATGCAGAGTTGCACTGTACGTGCAGTTTTAGTTTTTTATCATTACCCAACACAGTCACTATTGTTCTAACAAGTCTTGTTGGAAGTTAAACATTCGGGTATAACAATGTTAATTAGATAATCGAGTCTGGAAATTCCCGCTTTATTTCATGAACTTCAATTAAAATTAAAACAATGACAAATGAAATCATATTTTATACCAACGCCTGCAGGATTCCAGGGTAGGCAACCGGCTTGGCACATAAAGTATAATAACTATTTTCATGAGTTTAATAATTTGTAATAATTGTTGTTATGGTTATTATATTATCCAATCTTTTTTTAAATTAATGATACTTATATTGTGTTGATTAACTTTGTGCGTAAAGCTGCAGAGGCGTGAATGGGTAGGCGCACTTATTTGTGATAATTGCGTAAGCTGGAAGAAGCCATGTGCGAGGCATGCAACGTTAAGCGCTGCTCAAGGATTGTGATTCAATTAATTAGGTCGTGCGACATGCGGCAACGGTCATTTGCAGGCTAATAATAAGCCTGCTGGCAACTCTTGGACGCATTATAAATGCAAGTTAATGGCTACACACGCTGCTCAGAGTAATAATGGAGCGGGCGAGTTTGAGGATCGCTCCCGAGCGACCTCTTGTGGTGTTCCATGCTTTTATAACATTACGCATTAATCTTGGTCGTATAAGAGGTGAGCAAAAGGGGTCAAGCGGCCCAGTGTGTCCGCGACACCCTCTTGATTAATGCGCCCTGTGACGTCACCCGGAGCGAGCCGGTTTGCTTTGCCGACTCTTGTCTCTTTGTTGTGCCATTGTTGAGGAAATAAAAGTGCCGCCGTGGTGTATCAATCATGCGCCCCGAATTGACTTTCTGACATTTTATACCCGAGGCATATTTATGGCCCCCCGATATTGTCCGTCGAACAAACAAGACATTGTCTGTGCTCCATTAAAATTCCCTTGTTATGAAATTATTCATGAGATATGCACATGCCGGAACTTTGAACAATTGTACAAATATCATATAAAAGTCTCAAGAGAACCATCATTTCTTTAAGTTTGAAAAACATTTCAGGTCAGAAGTAGCCACGGTGAATAAATTGAAAATTTCCGAATGCCAAACAGGCGTGGGAATTCACTTGTCCTCTCTGAAGATATGAAACAACAATGACCAGGCACGCGCGCGGCGCACAGCTTTTTATTTATTTTTCCTTCTAGCAGAAGAAAAATTCCCCGGAGGAAAAATTCTGTGAAGGGCAGCATAGAAGCTGTGGCGGTGAAAAAGCGGCGGCCGTCGGTCTGGCAGTTGCCTTTTTTCATTACAAAATTCTTGTTGAAATGAAAACTGAAAAGCGCGCGCGGCGGCACCCCTCGTTTCAAAGTAAGCGGCCTCTCGTGCTTGTGTAAATATTAAAAATTTCTGGCCTTGCCCAGCACGCGCCACTTCATCACTGATTATAACTGTTGTTGAGAGCGCGCCCGTTCTTTGCAGAACCAAATCCTTCTCTCACAAATAATGCTTTTAAGTGTTTTGTTTTGTGTGAAAACAATAAACCAAAGTTTTAACGCCAACGCAGACAAAAAGCGAATATCAAAATTGCATTTAACCGCTTAAACTAAAGAAAGGAAGAAATATGTTAAAGAGTGACATTTTTTTTATATATTATGTGGTTTCAAAAGAGTATTTTGCACATTAAGAAGTTTTCAAAATTTTGCGATGTGTAAAAAAGCTCTGATATGAATGGAAAGGATAAAAGAAGAGTTTCGTAATTGAATCTGAAGGGTAAAAAGGGCGCGCGGAAAATTGCGCGCGGGGGAGTAAAAGGAGCTAACGAAGCAATCCTAGCGATTGGGTTAGTGTCACATTAATGGTGTACGTGATGGAGATAACTAGCAGAGTCGATGCTTACCAAAATCATACCATGGTCAGGCAAAACATGCAGCACGCTCCAACTGCCCCGGTGCTTCGTCAGCAATCGCTCTGATCCCCCGAGACAATGCCCCGCGCGCTCTCCTTGAATAATGCATCCCTCGCCTCCCTGAACTCCGCCACTGTGCCGCACTTCCAATCTACTTTTCTCTTTTGAAGCGGAAACTTGGACAAAGTCAATTTCGTCAAACTTTGTTGAATTAGTAAGTGTGTGAATTTCATACTTTTCTTAAAAGTGTAACGTTTCAGAGAAAAAAAATACGCCTTCGCGGTCTACATTATACATTATTTCAAAGTTTTTCAAACCTTCAAATATTTTTTAAATTAATCGTTTGTTTCAATTTAATTTTGAAACTTTTAAGACATTTTATTTTTTTGTAAATTAAAAAAATTTATCACAGACATTCCTTTCTTCCAATTTAATGTTAGAAGTTTCAATATAAATAATCATATTTAGGCTTAAAAATATATTATTTATTTGCAAATAATTATTTTACGATCTTCATCATCTTATACAATTAAAATAATTAAAAATAATTCTTTACATTGTTCCTTACACCAAATAAAAAAAATCATAATTCAAATATCTATATATCCAGGTAAAAAAATGCCAGCCCAAAAAGTATCACAAAAGTCTATCAACCAAATTCTCCAATCCTCTAGTGAAGAAGTCACAGTTTTGCAGAGCCTGTCGAATGAGAATTTTCCCTGACGGAGATATCAGGTACAACATGATGTCCATTTTCATCCAGAAACGTCTGGTTGTCCCACTTTATAGGATCACCTTAATTAATATGATTTATCAGAAAAATATTTTCCTATACTGCATTAATTTTCTTATTCATACCAATTCTCTGTTTCAAGTAGCTAAGCACGATGTGATAGTTGATACGAATGCCATGCAGGAAGTCTATTCTTTCTTTATCTCTGTTCAGCCACATACCCACAAGTTGTGGTGTGTCGCACAAGTGCTCGTGGGTAGTGCGCCTGAAAAAAAATTCGCACATAGTATAACGCATTAATATTAAATTTAACAAACTACATACTTAACAGTGAATTTTGAATCACTGGGTGAAACGAATCTCCTCATAACACTCAAATTGTTGTCTAGTTGAAAGTAGTCAGCGTTAAGAAATAATTTTGGGAATTTCTTGAGCACTTCTGGCATCTCACTTTCATTTTTCAACCCAAAAAGCCACGAGTCCAAAACCAAAAGTTGCCTTTAAAATACAAGAAATTTAATTTCAGACTATCAGAACAACCTATAATGCATAAATTACTTGAAGCGATCATCCTGAGACGCTGTGACAAGGGTTGTGGCACCACCAAATGAATGCCCCATCAATGAAGCAGTCTGCAAATCCAGTCGACCTCTCATTTGCTCGAAAACCTGACTATGCATGTTCTTTGGGTCCAACAAATTATTCACTGCTGTACCCTCGTTGACATTTTTTAAAAAGTCCAAGGCTCTTGAACATTCACTTGCTCTTATGGCAAGCTTAAAAATATATATTTTAGATAAAAAAATTTAACGCTTAAAAAAATGGTACCTGTCTTTTCCGAATGACTAGGTGACTCCCACTGGCAGTCTCGTCAACTGCCCTGAAAAGCATGAAGCTCTTTTTCCCTTCTGAATATTTCTTTTCGTTTTCGTAGAAAAAAGTTGCTGCTGAGCTCTCGTCCCTTTCGGTATTTTTTTTTCATTAAAAAAAAATATATTGAAAATAAAAAATACTTATGCTCAACTGCAGCTACAACAATTCCATGAGAGGCAAGCTGCATTGCAAGGATTGAATAGAAAAATCTGCATGCGCCTAGACCGTGCGAGAAAATAACAACCGGAAAACTGTTTGGCTCTGATAGGAGGTCAGCACCCCAAACCGCTGGTATATGGATGTCTCCTAAAAATCACAATGTGGTTTAGCAGGTTTTAAAATGCCTTTTTGATGATTATTTCTTACCACTGTACCAACGCCGCACTATCTTCAGGAAAATCGGCCAAATTCCCAGGACAGTGGAAAAACCTTTTAAATAAGTTTCGTCCATCCAACGAGGCCACTTTGGCGAGTGTTGCTAATGAGGAAAGCGATACAATTAATACTTAAAAATAAGCATTTACGGTCTAATTATTTTCTTACTTTTACATCTGTTAGCGATGTCGGGTACCATAGTCTCATGAACACGCTTTTCTCTCCAAACCCCGACATGACATCCAAGCAGCCAGGGACAAACGGTCCTTTTGAAAATAAATTTTCATTTGTTGTAAAATAATAAGAATATTAATTACACATTTCTGTTCATTTAGTTTTATATTTAAAGTAGGTCATCTAATTATTTGTAGTTATAAAAGCTTGAGATTAATAATATATAATGAGTGAAGTAATGAATGGATTATTCAATAATAAATAAGATTATGAATGGTCAATATTTGCAAGTCATGATTAAAATAATTAATTCTATTAAAACCTTTCAGCGCATCATACTATAATATATATAGGACAAAGTCTTCAGCTTCAAAAATTACCTTCATGAAGTGGCAAATGGTTTGGCAGGCTTTGAGATGAAGTTGTCATATTGCAGGTTATTCAATAACTCCAATATAATTAAATTGCATTACATCAAACTACACAAAGTGCCTTTAAACAACTATCGGTCTACTTTTAATGTTCATTAAAAACAGGACACAAGATAAAGTTGCTTCTCTTTTCTCTTCCCCACCACAGCACTACCAACTGTGCAGAATTGTTCACAAATTTTTGTCTCTTTTAAAATCGCCTAAATTGTTTCTTGAACTTTTCAAAGTGATAATCATCAGTGGCTTTGTCAGTGCCGTCTCTCCCTCGCTTGCCTTTGCCCTCGGATTCGTCAGCCATTCCAACAACAAAAGGCTTCTTAATTTCCTGCTTTGGCTCTTGCTTCCTCTTTGCAAGCGTGCTTGGCTCTTCAATATTAACTAGAATAAAGATCATTCAAAAATTGAATTAAAAAATAATATAAACTGGCTCACATCTATTATGTTGCACAAAGTTAACTGCCATGTTTGTGGGAACAAACTGAGAAGGCAGATCTTTCTTGCTGCTTCTCTCCCGCAACATTTTCATCTTTGCCTCTTCTGTTGCTTCAATGTTTCTGATCTTGGCACTATTATGAAATATAATTTAATGTTAGTCGTTTTATTTTAATTATGTTTAAACTAAATTACTCGATGCCAAGATCAACTTCAGGAATTCCACTAAGCATTTGGTTGCTCAACATTTCCTCTGATTTCTGTGTAGACGAAACTCTCAAGTGTTCCGGAACGGACAGAAGAGCAGCCTCCTCAGGACTCAAGTACCTATTCTGACCTGCGCCACTTCCTTCCGCAGCAGATCCCTTTTTCTTTGACAGCTGCTCCTCAATATACTTCATCCTATAGACAAATTTTATTTGTGCATTCAAAAATAAATAGTACATACTACGCATTAACTTACATTTCCCCATCTTCGTCCCGTGTGTTAGTCTCTGCAGAAAACTGAGTTCCAATACCGACATCGTAGGCATCGTCTGTCTGTTTTACCTGCCCACTCATTAATGCTCGCATATTAACCATGCCGCCGGATTTCACTTTAAAAGGGTCATCCTGTTAATACAATAATAAATCATCAAAAAATTGTTACAAGACTTACAAGTACATAATTGGGGTGGTTATTAATACGTACCACTGACAGCTCATCGATTTTAGAAACTTTTTCACCGACAGCTAGACCCACTAAACTCACTCCGTGCGCTCTGTTTCGCAGTTTTTGTACTTTACGCAAGTCCTCAAGCTTTGATCTGCATTAAAATGAAAATTTAAGTGTTCCAATTTGATAAAAAAAATTATCTTACAAGACATCTTCGTCACCATCTTCTAGTTTTTCTGTTTCCTCCTCGTCACTAGACTCTTTCTTCTTCCGTAGACTTTTACTTTTTCGCGTTTTAAATTTAATTTCAAGATTTTCAGAGGAAGAGCCGGCTTTGTTTACCTCGTCATCTGCCATTTTTGAGAAATTTAAATTTGGCGCGCTAGCCGCGCTAGCGTTTGGTTGACTACTCTGGGCCGATCGATCGTCATTTTTCTTCTCACTGCTGGCCGGAGAAGAAAATGGAATCAGTCGGTATGCTGAGCCGTATTTTGGCCAGATCAGGTAAATTTCACTTAATTTTCAACGAATTTTACGCTTTTCTCAAGGCGAACATTTTTATCTACGTTACTCCCGTAAAAATTTTCAACCCGCGCCGAATTCGATGACAAGAATGCGTTTGACATTTGGGGACCTTCAGTCATCCATAATTTTTTTCGAACAGTTTTCCACAATTTTCACAACCAAAAATTGATAAAAAATCTTGTTTTCAGCCGCCCCTCGGGGTGTGATCGTGCGCAGCTTCCGAACGAGCGCACCCGCAGTGTCCGCCGTCACCGAGGGCCCTGAGCGTGATGTTAAGAACTTCCCCAGGCCTGTGCGCCCCATTTACCCAGGCAAAGTGCGAATGGGTTTCATCCCTGAAGAATGGTTTGAGCTGTTCTACAAGAAAACTGGTGTCACTGGTAATTTCCTGTGAAAATCAATCAACTTGAGGGTATTTAAATTATCCTATTTCTAGGTCCATACATGTTCGGTGTGAGTTTCTTGACCTACCTATGCAGCAAGGAGATTTACATCATGGAGCACGAGTACTACAACGGCCTGTCCCTTGCCCTCCTTTGCATCATTGGTGTTAAGAAGTTGGGACCTAGCATTTCTGCTTGGCTTGACAAGGGAATCGATGTAAATTTAATTAACAATCATTGAAAGCCTTGATTAAAATTTTTTGATTTAGCAATACGAAAACTCATGGGAGGAGGGCCGCAAGAATCAGCTCCAGACCTTGCAGGATTCGATTGAGGCTGAAAAGAAGGAGCAGTGGCGCGCAGAGGGTCAGACCCTGCTTTTCGAGGCCAAGAAGGAGAACATCGCCCTCCAGATTGAGGCAGCATACCGTGAACGCCTCATGCAGACTTACTCGGAGGTTTGTCTTTACTTATTTTCCATTTTTTGTAGCTCCTTATTAATTAAATATGCAGGTTAAGAAGCGTTTGGACTACCAGGTGGAGACCCAGAACATTGAGACGCGCATTTCGCAAAAGCACATGACCCAATGGATCGTGAACAATGTGCTCAAGTCCATCACTCCACAGCAGGAGAAGGACTCTCTCAAGAAGTGCATCTCCGACCTCAAAGCTCTTTCAGCCGTTGCATAAATTGCCAGTCAGGCTTTGTTGTAGAAATGCCATCTTTCTTAGAACGAAATCCGGAAAATTTATTTGTTGCTTTTCACAATCCTTTGTTGTAAACCAAGTTGAAAGCAAAACCTGTCTGTACATGTTATAAAAAACAAAAACTAGAATCCCATTGTTTCATTGATAACTCTGCCCCTCTTCCCTAATGTTAATTAATAATTATAAAAGTGAGGAAAAATATTCTGAAATTATTGAAATAAATTTTGTGATTTTATATTGATCGTCATATTCAGTGACCAAGATTTAACATTACATCATGTTAACTACTTAATTTGTTTAAATTTCACTCCAATCACTCCCTCATTCACGCAAGTAGATTATGGTGTCCTTTAATAAACTCATTTTGAGGCGCGTTTCCATTTGTCTGCAGCCGAATATTCGGTCATGGGTTTGCCTCCGATTCCACAAGTGCCCACACCAACACGGCCGCCTGTAGTCTCAGGAGACGCAAAAATGCTCTTCTTGACAACACCTTTTTTGCTCGAGGACTTATTGGTAAAGCTGAGCCATTTGTTCTTTTCCGTCTCCCTGACTTCCTCTATCTCCTTCATGCGTTGCTGCTTCTTCTGTTTCTTTTTCTTCAAATACTCTTTCTGTTGCTGCATCATTTGCTTCTTCATTTTGCTTCCGGCCATCAAGCCCTCGGTCATCTTACGTTTCAGCGACTCCTTCTGCTCCAGATCTCTGAGCTGCTCGATCTTCAGGGTTTCGGAGTGCTGGTAACTGTCAAAAAGTACAGTGACCTCTCCAGCAGCAAGGTCGACCTCTCCAACTGTGGCGTCGTAATACAAACCATCTTGACTCCATATGGCCAAGCAGCGATCGCCGATCTTCCAGTCTTTGCGAACTCCGGTACCAGATCCTGACGCTTCATTTTTCTTTTTCCCTGCTTGCTTCTTTTCGAGCTCCTCTGTGTATGCCTTGGCGAGATCCGACGTTAGTGCAATCACTTCCTGAAGATCTTCTTTTAACTTCAACAACTCTGCATTCTCTGGATCTGTGGTGAGCGCTGCTTCAACCTTTGAAATGCAAGAATGGTATTTATGTATTAAAAAACAATCTGGAACAAATCATAATTTAGACAAAAATTTATTGTCTCCACAGACCTGCTGAAGCTGTAGCTTATAATTTTGCAAACTTCCAACCGGATCGTCATCCATTCTGCTGAAATTAATAAAAAAAAACTTATTACGAACTGCAAATTTAACAACAAAAATTAAATTATGTAAGAGATCGTAATTGAGTTCAATAAAACTCTCTAAAATACAACACTATAACACTATCATGCATATAACCTTGAGCACTATTTCGACAGCAATAAGGTAATTTAAGGGGGATTTTTCTCTCTTTTATGAATATATGACGACAATTTTTTATTAGAATGCAAAATGTTGTCAAACAAGCTGATTAAGGTGGGTAAAATCTGCAAAAAGTGACTCAAACAATTAAACAAACCAACCTTTTTTGTTTGTTTATTTCAGCAACTTCGCCTGCAAGTTATGCAGCCACAAATCGTACATTAGTTACATTTTTTGCCGCTACACAAGTTTGCCTGCTTTTTGGGAACGCGCGATGTCAGCACCGTCCATCCAAAAAGGTTCGGCAAGCCAACAGCCAACTCGCCCGCCCACTGCCTGCCCAGCTGCATGCGGCATTTTGATCACTTTTAGAAGAATTTTGTTCGAGATTCGGACTGAATTTCTCACGTCTGCAACCAACCATCGGCTGAAATGAGCCGCCGAAGGCACGATGAAGAAGATGGATACGGTTAGTATTCGCGGAAGGCCAAACTTTTAATGTTTCGAGAATAAAAAGTCATCCAGGTCGCAATGCCGACTGCATTTTCATCATTCTCTAAATCGCGTTATCCATTTCAAGCTGTATTACTCAGTCAATACAAATCACCCTCCCATTTTTCTTGCCCTAATTTGTAAATAAATTGGTCCTTGGTTGAATTAACCAAATGGGAAAAGTTTTGAATTCCAAACAACCCCTCAGCAAGGTTAAATCTGAAAATGCTGAGAAAAGTGGGATGCGCAAAAAGTGTATCTGGCAATGATTAATTCCATCTTTTTATTTTTAGAGCGCACCTACAGGAAGCGCCGCAAGGTGTCCGAAAACCAGGACATCGAAGACCGACTGGAGTCTCTCATCCTTAGAGTGGGAGAAAAGGTAAAAACCTGGTTAATCTTTTTGCGATTTCCACTCCAGAATTTCATTTCCAGAGTACTTCCTCTCTTGAGAGCAACCTGGAAGGTCTGGCCAGCGTCCTTGAGGCTGACCTTGGCAGCTTCAGGGTCAAAATTTTGCGCATTCTAGCCGACTGCGCCACTAACATGCCAGAAAAGTGCACCATTTACACCACCTTGATAGGCTTACTGAATGCTAAAAACTACAGTTTTGGAGGAGAGGTTTGTCAAGAGAAAGGTCCAAGTATTTCACTATTTATCCAATCTTAAACAGTTTGTAGAGTACATGGTGCGCAGCTTCAAGGATGCTCTCAAAAATTGCAAGTGGGACGCCGCCCGTTACTCGCTGCGGTTTCTTGCAGATCTGGTCAACTGCCACGTGATTGCTGCTGGTTCCCTTCTGCAACTGCTGGACAACATGGTTGACGCAGCCAAGGAGGATGGTGTGCCTCAGGTACTTTGGTTTAGAAAAAAATTGGTAACATCGGAATGAAATTTTTTTGTAAAGGTGCGTAAAGATTGGTACATCTATGCTGTTCTGTCTGTTCTGCCCTGGGTTGGCCGCGAACTCTATGAGAAAAAAGAGCAGTCCCTGGAAGCTCTGATGAACTCGATTGAAGTCTTTTTGATGAAAAGACAAAAGAACCACCATGATGCTTTAAAAGTCTGGTACTCCGACACCCCCCATCCTCAAGAGGAGGTTTGAACGAAGCTTTAATAATTTTAAAAATAGTAATGATTTTCTTCCATAGTATTTGGACTGCCTTTGGTCCCAGATTCGCAAGCTGCGTCAAGATAACTGGGCCGAGAAACACATTCCTCGGCCTTATCTTGCATTTGACAGCATCCTGTGTGAAGCTCTGCAGCACAATCTGCCAACTCTGCTGCCTCCCCCACATCATGACTCGTACCACTATCCAATGCCATGGGTTGTCTTCAGAATGTTTGACTACACTGATTGTCCAGAGGTTATTTGTTCATGAAGTTATAAAAAAAAAATTATTTTTATTTCCTATTTTAGGGTCCAATATTGCCTGGGGCACACTCAATTGAGCGTTTCCTGATTGAAGAGCATCTGCACCAGATTATTGAAAGCCACCACCTCGAGCGAAAGGACACGTAAGTCCCTGGTGAAACCTAAACTGAAATAAATTAATTAGTGAAATACTGTTTAGAGCTGCACAGTTGCTTGATGTTCCGTATAAAACCAAGATTCCGCTGGACTACATGATTGTGGAGGTAATTTTCGCAGAGCTGTTCCACATGCCAATGCCTCGTTATCTAGAGGTTTGCTACGGCTCAATTTTCATTGAACTGTGCAAGCTACACCCAAGCCGCATGCCCCAGGTATTGGCTCAGGCCACCGAACTGCTCTTTAGCAGAGTCGACTCAATGAACACATCTTGCTTTGACAGGTAGGTGCCATCAAATTGTATAAATTTCAGTTCGATTATTTTCTACAATTCCTAAATCTTACAATGGCATCATGTTCTTTTGAACACAAATTTCAGATTCGTCAACTGGTTCTCGTACCATCTGAGCAACTTCCAGTTCCGTTGGAGCTGGGAAGATTGGGAGTCGTGTTTGCAACTTGATCAGGAGCACCCACGTCCCAAGTTCATCAAGGAGGTGCTTTTCAAGGCTCAGCGCCTTGCCTATCACGAGCGAATCCACAAGATTGTGCCAGAGACCTTTGAGCCGCTCATTCCAGAGAAGCCTGAGCCTACCTTCAAGTACTCTGATGCGCCTGGTGAGTTACCTTATTGTTTGTTAGTCATTTTCTTTAAATGGTTTATTTTGAACAAAAATATACAACGTTCAGTCAGTGCGACTTAGCAGCTTTTCGGTATTTTGAACTTCTTTTTGTAGTCATTTCTGGAATTTTTTCTGTTGTCACTATTTCGCTTTCCTCTACTTCTTCAGCAAAAATTGGCTTCTGCACATGCAAATTTATAACTGCAGGCTCTTCCGGAATGTTGAGCTTGGCAACGTTGGCAACTTTCGGAAAGTGTGGTTGAACCAATCTTGGCGAGGGTATAATGTAAATGGGCTCTTGTTTAAATTCACCGTTCTGAAGGGAGTAAGATTATTAGCCAGGAATTTAGTAATTTACTTAAAAATCAAACTTGCCTCTTTTTCCTGGAGAAAACTTTTGCCTTCCTCTTCAGGATTCCGAGCAATGTAATTGTGCACCACCTGCTTGTACGAGTTGATGAATCCTGGGTGATAAAATTGTCCTGGGTGCTGGCCAAAGAAAGGTCCTTTGTAGACCACAGGCACCCTGTTAGGTTTCTCCAGGTGCGCCAGCATGCTCAAATGCGACGCCGGCGTGACCGTAAAATAGAATTCAATTTGGGGCTCCTTGAGCCCTGGCCCGCTGTGGCGTACCCTGATGACGCTCCACAAGGCTGTAACTTTACGCGTGTTTGCGGCGGGATGCAGAAGAATGTCTTCAGGAGCAAAGGCCAAGTGGCCAGCTTCTCGGAGCAGAAGTCCTCTTGATAGAACAGACAAATCTGCGTCTTCACTCTCGGGAGGGTGTAGTTGGACGGGAAAAACGGGCGCCACCATTAACTGCTCCCATAGAGTGCGCTCAGCTCGGCTTCCGTCCCCAAATCTGCAAACATGATAAATTAATCTTTTGAAATGGTTAAAGAAAAATCCATATATTTTTTCACCAAATTTAAATGAAAGGATTGGCTGGAAAATTACCAGTTCTTAAGATTATTTGATAAAAAATAGTCTTCCCTAAACGTCCAATCTTTTTTTGAAAGCGTGAAACGGATTGCTAAAACTTTGCCAAGCCAGACTTTGAGAACATTTATAAAATTTATCAACAACTTTCTATAAAAAAGTTAAATTACTCTCTTTTAAGATAATTAAAAAAGACTTTCCTTGAAGTTCTAAGTCCACAAATTTAAGCCGCATATTCACAAAAGTTTTATCTTATTATGATCAGGTCTCAAGCAATTTAAGCTTCAAACGCTGTTGCCCTCTTTTATGCAAATTCGCATGCACTAATTGAGTTAGTGTGAAAAGCAGAAACACCTGTGAGTGGCTGGTCAGCAAGGCGTGAATTTGAGATTGCATTATCTAATTGTGAGCGAGCTGCATTTGTCCGTCCGTTCAGTTGAGCAAGTCACGATTGCTTCAAGCTAGTTGCAATTTGCATGATCTTGCTCGAGATTAGTCCCGCGATCGTTTTCACGGTCTGGGCCGCAGAAAGTTTTACAGCTTGTTTTATTTGCCTAAACTATAAATATACATATTTTTATTTAATTTCAAAACTCATTTGATACAAACAAGTTTGTGCTTCAATTTAAATATTTTAATTATGTTTGTGTTTTTTTCCTATAGCTTGCAAGCAAACAACTATTTGGCAAATAATTATTTAAAAAAAGCTGTAGACTTAAATTTTTTAAAGTGAATTTTAGTTTAGAAAAGATGAAAGAAAATTTATGTTTTTTAAAAATTCCTTGTGGAAATACCTGCTGATTTTCCTGCGGAGACTAAGAAATGCTGCGTGTCTGAGGGCGGTGTGCCAGTTGAGGGTTGCCATTGCTGCTTCCGGGACGATTAGTCTGAAGGCGGTGTGTTTGTAACCCGGGGGTGGCGACAATCCTTTGCTCTCTACAAACCCACCAAATCGAGAATCCACCCTTGAAACTCGCAGAAAAAGCAACGCCGCGACCTGTCAATAACAATTAATGTAATATGTAATTGTCGGCGGCGGAAAACTAAATATTGGACAAACCAGAGTCGCGGCCGCGAAAGGGTGCATCTTTGCTCACGCAACTATGGCTTCCTTCTGGCGGACTGACAGTCTGAGACGCCGTTTGCGGTGGAAGGAGCTGAGAGTGTGAGTGAGCCAAGCGCTCCGCGAAATTGGCCAACCCGAGCTTAAAGCCTTCTCCGCAAATTTACCTTCCACCAAAATTCTCAGTTCACTGCCAATGTTACTGAGGCAGCAGCCTTAAATCTAGATCAAGAATATTAAAACTTTTGTCATTTCTAATCATTTGCTTCAGAATGTATAAAAAGAAAAATAATTTAATGAATTTTATTTGTAGAATTAAAAAAAATGTCATTATTCTTTATAAACATTTTGCTTGAACTTCAGTTTTGATTACGAATTCATCTTTAATTTGAAGATCAATTTACACCAAGGATAAATTAATGGCGACGCCGGCTTGCGGAATACAAAAAGTTGAACGTCCGATTTGGCTGAACGATTTCCTTTGATTGCGTCTTGGGTCCTTTTTTCCCACTCATGGAGCATGTGTGTTTGCGTTGTTTTGGTCACTGATCGGCGACAAAAAACAAAAGATCACTCTTCGCACGTACGGTGAAAATTGAGCAGCGTAGCAAATCTTGCAAGTCTTGCTTTCCAGCAGTAAAATTTTCTATCCTCCAAAACGAAAACGAATTTGTTGCCTATAAAAAAGGCGCCGAGAGCGAGTTGGCTTTTCTCAAGGATGGGACCCGCGTGCAAGTAGTAGATGGGAATTTCTCATCGTTTATGTCGATGTATGCCATATATTTCCCTCAATTAAACGCAAGTTGACATAAAAAAAGATAATAAAAATATAACATTTTATAAGTTAGCGTGAAAAATATTATGTAGTGTAAAGCAGCAGACAGTAGCAAAAGAGTAAAAGAGGTTGCGGGTCGATGCAAATGCGGTTCCTTAAACGCACCAGAGCATCCTTTCTGATCACTATTATTTCCTTGTTGAAATAATTTATTCTGACGGCACTGAATAATGGATGTGAAAAATCAGCAGCAGCCTTGTTTTAAGTTTGAACAGAAGCGGAAGAAAAGCGAGAGAGCAATAAAACATAGCTACGTTGTTATGGTCTTGCGTAATTAATATTGCATTAGATGTCGAGCAGCACTCGAGTTCTCGAGACTTTGTTTTTGACAATTAAAAGCTTTCCAAGGCCGCCAATTAATTATTCTCATTATGGCTTATTCTCATTTAGAAATCACATAAGTATTCCTAGAATGTTTTTGTTTCGCTAAGGTCATGTGTTAAAATGGGAACTTTGATAAGTTGAATTATTAAATACACCATTTATAATTAGAAAATTTGGTTCAAGTATTTATTTGGTTTCAATCAAATTAAAAAAATCTTTTAACTTGATGTATTGTATTTTACGTTTTTTTTTTCATAGCAAAATTTATTTTAAATTTTGTATTTTTCTTTCAGAAACATTGCCAGGTGCAACTGCAGCGCGAGCAATTGCAGACGCCATCCGTGAGCGCTGCACACCAGAGGATGTGCTGACTTTGTTAGTTGAGCTGCCAAATCCCCGTGCTGGGGTCGACGAGTGTGACGCTTCAAGCTACAACCCTTTGAAGATAGACGTTTTTGTTCAGACACTACTGCAGCTGGGCATGAAGAGCTTCTCCCATTCTTTTGCGGCAATCTCCAAGTTCCACAATGTATTCAAGGTGCTTGCCGAGTCCGAGGAAGCGCAGATCTGCATCCTGAGAAGCATGTTCGAGCTTTGGCACAACCACCAGCAGGTACAATTTTTACCATATAAAATATTTTTCATTACATAAATATTTCCTGGCATAAATAAATTTAAAAAAAAAAAACATATTTTCCAACAGATGATGGTAGTTCTTGTGGACAAGATGCTTAAGACGCAGATCATCGAGTGCTCTGCTGTGGCGAACTGGATCTTTAGCCGAGAAATGAATGGAGAATTCACTAAGTGAGTTAAAATTGGCTAAATCTTCCCTTTAGAAATGTTTATGGCCTATAAATTTTTAATCAATTCTTAAATAATACCATTTATGCTTCTCAAAATGGACTGAATTTTATATAAAAATTCTGAACTTGAAAGTTAAAATCGTGATCATTTCATGAATTTTTTTATAGGATGTACTTGTGGGAGATCCTTCACCTAACCATCCGCAAAATGAGCAAGCATGTGCAGCGCCTTGGCAATGAGCTGAGTGAAGCTCGAGAGCGTTTGCGTCGTGCTGAGAGCCACAGTTCTGACTCTGATGAAGAGATGGGTGCTGAAGAAGGTGCAACTTCTGGCCCCAGCAAGATAACCATCGGCGAAGAAAAGGACAAACCCAGTGAGGAGATGGTAGAGCGCATGGAGGAACGGCTGGAGGCAGCACAAGCCGACCAGAAGAACCTCTTCCTCATCATCTTCCAACGCTTCATAATGATCCTCTCCGAGCATCTTGTCCGCTGCGACACTGACAACAGGGACTTTGACACCTTCTGGTACAGGTGGACCATTGGCCGCCTGCAGCAAGTCTTCCTTGCTGTGAGTATTTCTTTTTAAATTCAAATTAAAGACCTAATAATAACTTGATTTACAGCACCACGAGCAAGTGCAGAAGTACAGTTCCACCCTTGAGACGTTGCTGTTTACCCACGACCTTGACCCACACATCTTGCGAGTTTTCCAGCAGTTTGTTTCGCTGCGCGCCTAATGTGCTTTGTAACTATGTTTCTTTGTAAATTTTCATTCGGCTCCATAACTAATGCTTTTTTAGTATACTTTGTTAAATGCAAGAAAATAAATTACAATACAACATTTTGCCTTGTTATATATCTTTGGTTCTTGAATAATCAGTATGCACGAAATGTGCTTAAGATAGAAAAAAAGCTTGTTTCATTTTTAATCATAAAAGTTTTATTACAGTCAGTTTTTAATAGAATTATTTTATGTTGTCACTGATGATAGTCTTACATTTCTTTTCTTATTAGTAAACATAGTTTTCCCCCATATTCGCAACCAATTTTGTATAAAATGTGTATCAGTTATTTAATCACAAAAATGTGCTTTTCATAAGAAGCACACTGCTGGCCGGCCAACACCAAAATATTAAAATATGTAAAAAAAAAAGCAATAATTATATAAAAATATGTCAAAAATTGTAAAGCTCACAGAATCAGAGGCGCAAAAAATCAGGACCTCCAATTAGAGTTAAAAAGCTGATGGCCATAAGCTGGGTCCCTCGTATTTCGAGATTGTGTTGACGTTTGATTCCGCTCGTTTCTCCAACCTCCTCTCTGTTCATTTTTTGGCCCAAAGTCTTGCATCACAATCTTAGTTCTACTCTCATAAAATTCCAGAACAGATTTGTCTCTGTTTTGCGCAGCTACGTCCAAGGGTAAATGGTTATTGCAGTTTTTCTGGTAAAGGGCCGAGTCCTGCTTTGATACGAGGTACTCATTTACCTCTAAATCTGCAAACTTGGCGGCTACATGCACTGGTGTCCACTTATCAAAGTCTGCTCTGGTCACATCCGCGCCAGCAGTCTCCACCAAGAACTGCACCAAATCAAGCGAGCCTTTTTCAGCTGCCAGGTGCAACACAGTGTGACCAAATTTGTTCTTCTTGTTCACCCGGAACTTGCCGCTGTCCCAAAGTACTCTAACATTCTCCAGCATGTTTCCTGCACAAGCACATTGCAGGGCATCGTTTCCATTTCTATTCTCTGCGCGCACGTCCACATCAGGGTGCAGTAGGAGCCAGGAACAAGCAGAGGGTCCTCCAAACTCTGCCGCAGAGTGCAAAAGTGTCGACCGATTTTTCATAAGTTGGTTTACACTTAGTTTCTGCTCTTCTACCAGGTATTTCATAAGGCCCACATTGTTCTTTTTGGCTGCAATGTGCACTGCACCTTCACCATACTTGTTTTCAACAGATGGATCAAACCCATTCTTAATCAAAAATATAATAGTATCTTTGATGTTTGCAAAGCACGCAACCAGAAATAAATTTCGACCCACTGAATCGACAACATTTGGGTCTGAGCCCTTTTCAAATAGATACTGTGTAACAGTAGAGTGCTTATTGTAGCAGGACAAGAGGAGTGCTGTTTCATTTCGAAAAGTTTTCTCATCCAGGAAACCGTTATCAACAAAATATTTTACCGTTGTCATGTCTCCTGATCTAGCAGCGCTGTGGAAGGGAAGAAGACCATGATCATTCTTTTTCCTTATATCTGCACCCTTTTCCAAAAGCATTTTGATCATGTCAATGTGACTTTTGCTTGCAGCAACATGGAGTGGGGTCAAACCATTTTTAAATGTGCCATTTACATCTAGGCGTCCCAAGTCTATGATGAATCTAGCCGTTGACACATTGCCAGAGATACAAGTCTGATGCAGAGCATTTCCGCCTTCTTTGGTGAGCACATCAAAGTCTAGTCCAAGGGATAAAAGGTATCTGCAGTTTTGCACATCGCCAAATTGCGCTGCAATTGTCAGGGCGCATAGGTTGAAATTGTCTGTGGAGTGGATGTCTGCACCCAACTCGACAAGGTAGCGTTTAAATTCAACGCTCTCATTGCGAGCTAATTTGATCCAGGGTGTCTTTCCGTTGATGTTCCTCTTGTTCAAGTCAAACTTGCCAATGCCAACTAGATATTTTGCCACCTCTAAGTTATCTCCATCACAAGCCTTGTGAAATGCGTCGTGGTACATGTTGTCCTCGGCATTCAGGTCAGCGCCCCTCTCAAGCAAAAATTTAAATGTCTCAAGTTTGCAATTCTGCGCTGCCAGCAACAACGGAGTTAAATCTCGTATTACTGTTCGGGCATCAATGTCGGCTCCATTTTCCAAGAGAAAATCAACAATACCAAGGTGCTCACTCACTACTACAGCAAGATGAATGGCTTGGTTGCCTTCCATGTCTTTTTCACAAACATTATACTTAGCCACGCTTACCAAATATTTCAAGGTTTTCAATCTTCCTTCTTGAGAAGCTAAATGCATGGCATTTTTACCATCCCCATTTTTTGAATGCAAGTCAGCTCCGTGCTCAACAAAAAAGCGCACAAAGCTAACATCTGCAGCAACTACAGCAATCAGAAATGGTGTGTATTTCTTGGAATCAGGTTCATTGCAGTCAAGACCTCTGTTCATTAAAAACTCAATCAAATTTAAGTTGCCGGATGTAGTTGCTAAATGTAAGGCGCCCTGTTTTTTCCGTGTCTTTTCATCCAAATTGAAAAATTCCTCTTGGCTGAGAAGGTACCTTAGGCTTTCAAGATTTCCCTTCCGACAGGCATTGTGCATGGCATTCATGCCGTTGCTGTTGAAAGCAGCAGCATCAACACCATTCTCAATAAAAAATTTGCAGACATCTTCGCCTGCATAAACAGCTGCCATGTGAAGGGCGGTTGATCCGGCATTGCTTTTTATAGAGATAAGGCACTTCTCTTGTGTTAGAGCCAAATACTTGACTGTTTCAAGGTCACAACTCTTGACCGCGTAGTGCAGTGCTGTCCAGCCACGCCTCGACTTCTTTGTAAGGTCGGCGCCATCCTCCAGCAGCGACTCGACCAACTGCAGATTTCCTTTTTCAGCTGCATCATGGAGTTCAGTTTTTCCACCCTCAAATTGGAGATTCTGGTCCAGGTCTTGAATAAGGGCATTTATTGGATTTTCGCCTGCTATACTTTTTTTAGTGGACTCCTCTACCTCACCACGGCACATTTTAAGACCACCTGCAAAAAACGTATTAAAATATGATTGTAATATATTGTACAATAATCTTTGGCAGAATTTGTGATAAATGATAAAATTTTTTAAGATATAAATTAAAAAATATGTACTAAAATGTATAATGTATTACTGACGAGCCTAATCAAACACAAATTACACATATTTATTTTATGGACTATGTAGTGTGAATAAGTTTGAGCAGTTGATCCTTTATAAAAAAAAAAATATTTTAGTAATAATAGTATAAAGCACACAGTCATATTATTAAATGCAAATTCTTTACCCACAGTAAATTAGTGAATTTGTTGGTTGTGGTCCCTCTGCATCTTGTGTCGTGCAGTCGGGCACCTGCACCAGGAAGCTTATGTATCAGGAACAGCAGGTCCGTATAATTTATCTTATCTTTTAGGCCTATGCTTTGCTTTGCTGCCGATGCCCACAAGCTGCCCACGTCCGCTGTACCTCCGGCTCCGATCTTCCTCTTCCTCCTACTTTCTCTTTTTGCTTTGTTTTTTGTTTTGTTGTTGTTATGTTGGCCGTGTTGGCGCCTGGTTGGCGATGCCATTGGCTTTGGCCATTGGTGTTGCCCGTGTTGCCATTGGTTATAGATCGGTCGATGCTGGTTGGTCAGTTTGGATTTGCAGTTGGCGCTAATATTACAAAAGTTATAAAACTATTGTAAATGTGTGAAACTGTGGACATTTACTTTTCTGATCAAATTGGCGGAGCTTTGATATTTTGTGATTTTCTTTGTAAAAAATTTAATTCAGTACGTCCCAAAGTATATAATGCTTGTGCGTCCCACCGCTAAAGGTGGTGTATGAATCATATGAATGTTCTTTTTCTAGTGCTGCTCCAGCAGTGCATGTTGTACACAGTTGTACCCAAACCTTTAATAAAAGAATTATTATTATTATTTACTATGCATGCCCTAACCATGCCATAATTATTCTATTCCTAATTTTTTGGAATAAAAATTTAGATGATTTTAACAAAGGTCCCGCTGTATGGTAATCTGGCAAAGCCTTAAAACGATAAAAAATGTTATATTTTTAGTGCTGCTCCATTTAGTGCTACACAAACGTGTATTTATTATTATTTGATATAAAAAAATTAAATAATTATTATGACAGCTGACAGTCACTAACTTCCTCTTTACCACAATGATTTTTATTTTATAATCTTCTAACAGTGTGGACCAGCAAAATAGCCAAAACAGATTTGAAGTTCTATAACAGGTTTTAATTCTCAATTACTTTGGTCAGTGGTCGCTACCCTAGGTTCATCAAAATTGATATTGTTTAGTTTATAATTATATTAAATGAATCAAATGCAAATCATTGTGTATATTTGTAAGTCAAATTGTAAAAAGTTTTACTTACAAATAGGGTTTTTTTCAAATAAATTAATTATTGCTTATAAAATATTATGCGATAGTACTGGCAGCATGCTGGAAATTAAAAAATTATTTACTCATGTTGATTACAATTTTAGGAATACCCACATAAACCTTTATTGCTTTTAGAATTAAATCTCAACAGCATATTTATTTGGAATAAACTTTTTTAACGCAGTAACAGGTATGATTATTGGAATACAAAAATTGACAAAAATTTTGTATAAGGAATTGGGCACTTAATTCAGTCTTGCTGGAAAATGCAACCTGCAGCACCCTAATTCAGTCTTAAAAAATTAGACCGAGTGTTTCTTGATAATGTCCAGTACATCCTGAACATCATCTTTGGAACCAAGAAAGATGGGAGCTCGCTGGTGGATGGAATCAGGCACAATGTCTAGGGTCGGAATTTTTCCATTTGAAGCCAGTCCTCCAGCCTGTGTAATGATGTAGGCCATTGGGTTGCACTCGTAAAGCAGGCGCAGCTGGTTTGAAAATTAAAATTTAATGCAATCATTTTAATAAAGTGAAAAACACCAACCTTGCCCTTGGGAGCATCCTTAGTGGCGGGGTACATGAAGATTCCTCCATACTTGAGAGTACGGTGCACATCAGCAACCATCGACCCTACATATCGAGCACCGTAGATTTTTCCCTTGGCAGGGTCTTTCTTGCTGGCAACGTACTCGGCAACTGCAGGCTCCCATAAATGAGCATAGCCCTCGTTGATGCTGTAGATTTTGCCTCTGCTTGGGATGCGCATGTTCGGATCGGTCAACACAAACTCACCAATAGCCTGAAATTGCAATTTTTCATTATTATAAAAAAAATTTCTGTGGTGAAAAAGGACTTACGGGGTCCAGCATGAAGCCATTCACTCCTTGTCCAGTGGAAAGGACCATCATTGTGGCGCTTCCGTACAGAGCGTAACCAGCAGCGACCAATTTATTTCCAGGCTGTAGAGCATCAGCCACACTAGGGGTACAATCATGTGACTTCCTATTGAAAAGAAAGAAAAATATTACAAAAATAAAACAATAATATTTATAAAACCACTCTAGTTAGAATTATAAAGAAATTTTAAAATTAACCTACAAAAATAAACTTAAATTTAGAATAGAATTTAATAATAAAAATCAATTACTTGTAAATGGCAAAAATTGATCCAATCGAGACGAGACAGTCAATATTGGAAGATCCATCAAGGGGGTCAAAGCAAACCACGTATTTGCCCTGTCTGTCAGTTTCGACCTCGATGACCGCCTCATTCTCCTCACTGACCAGCAGACAGGTAGTAAAGGATGAGCGCAACAGGTTGATGAACAGCTCGTTGGACAAGACGTCCAACTTCTTCACCTCCTCACCCTGCACATTCGTCTCTCCGGCTATGCCAAACCTAAAAAGAAAAAAATTGCAAGATTTAAGTAATGGGTTTGATTGTGAAGGTCAAAAGGTCACGCACAACTTGGCTATGCCGGCTTTCCTCACGGCCGAGCTGACCGCCTTGATGGCTGATTGAAGACTGTTGAGGAGCTGCGTCAGGTCGCCGGTGGCTCCCGGCACCTTGCGCTGCTCAGCCAAGACATACCGAGTTAAGGTCATGCAGTTCGTGTCCAGTGGCTGCCCGGTGCTCGACATCTTGGTGACCTCGTCTGCAGATTAAGTTTAAATTATTTCTACAAATTATTATGCATTTAGGGAATTTATATAATATTTTATTCCATTTCCAATCAAAACTCAAAATTTAATTATATATTAGCGTGATTTTTACCTGCAAATTTGAGTTTTAAAACTAAAAAATAAAATGTGATGCTATCCTATCTATGTGTGGTTTTGAGGTCGCAAGTCGCAAACGGTCGCGATCAGACTGATAAAGAAATGTGGCAGTAAAACGACTATGACTTGGCTTTACAACAGAGAGTGTTTGATTGAGGATTGGGTGCAAAAGAGACGAGCCTCTCATCTCCTCTACCGTGTGACCTCTATGGTGTGCAACAAGGTCGCGCCAGGCAGGAGGCCCGACTCACTAAATCCAAGCGTGTGCTAATACTGCTAATTTTAAACTTCTCAAAATGAACAGTTGAAATTGTTTATTATCACAACAGGAATTTTTCTAGCTTTTTTACACCAGCTTTGTCTCAAATATTCTCGCTGTCTCGGAACGTAATTCCACGTCAAGGCGATTAGTCGCAGTACTAATTAATTATTTCCCGTTTAGAGTGGTTTCGTTGGGTTTTAAATTCTCAAGAAATTAAATGGACATATATTATTATTCTATTTAAAATACCTTTATTTTAATTAATTTTCCTAGAATTGATAGTAAGATTAGTAAGTAAGATTTATTAATAATAATAATAAAAATCATCATCATTATTTTTTAATAATACAAACTTTAATAAAAAGTATTTAGGATGCAAATTAATTTTTTTTCCAAACATTGCGTTGTGGGATTTCATTCAAAAAGCCTTATTGTCCCCAATACATATCATCAATAAACCCCGTAAATAAATTAAGCTATATTATTTTACATAATTGGCATAATTGGAAACAAAAAAATTAGACAATAAAAAATTATTTATTATTTAAAAATTAGTATTTTATATTTGTTGGTATTAATTTAATAATTATGATATTATGTTTTGAAGATGTTAATTTAAAAAAAAAAATACTTCCAGAGCCTTTTTCCATTTATATTCAAAACATTAAAATAATAAGCAAAATTTTTTAGGCTAATAAAAATAATAGAGGCCAATATTGTTAAATCCGTTAAATCAATTAAAATGTATGACATCAAGGGTTGTAGGTCAAATGCACAGCACACGTCCCAGTTCTAAGGGAGTGAAAGAGGTATGACATTTAAGTGTATAATTATGTCATATTATGTACAAAAAAAAAATTAACTGTAACGAATTAACAGAGGGACGCACTTAATTCCCCGCAGCAGTTGCCAAAATCGATTATGTATTATTGATTTTGTTAGACAACTGACAAATAACAAAAAAATTATCGCGCAGTGATTAGTAAAATAGACACAAATTGATATTATGATATGAATGTGTATTTTCATTTAACATATTATTGTGTTGTTTATCATTGTTTATAAAGAACAAGACACGAGAGACCGCGCCGGGTCGACCCTTGGACTTTTTGAAGACATAACAACAGCTTGAGGAATGCCAAGGAAAAAATCTACACTAAAATGCAAAAAAAGATGCTAGCAAGGAGAGATTGATGCATTTTAGTGATTATAATGACCTAAAATAATTCACATTCACGATTTTCTTACCGGCCTCTGACGCAGACAGCAGTCGCGGCGACAGCAAAGCAACAGCAAAACGAGCAAAACATCAACAACAATCCACTCCGCTGCGACATGCAATGCGTCTGCGCTGTACCAATCGTGAATTGTGTTATGTACTTTTTAAATAGATATCCGCGCGAAAATATTATTTTATTTCCCAAGAAGTAAATGATTTACAAAACTTATCATAAAAGATCCGTTTTAATTTAAACCAACATTTTAATAATTTTAAAAATTTGAAAACATTTTTATTTTAATAATGTCTATCACCAACGTTCTTGCACGGAGGAAAAAATATTATACAATTTATTGAATACTCTAAATAACTAAAGACTTTTGTCGATTGATGAGATTTTCTGTGAAAATATTTTTCTGCATTGCTATAGATTTTGCAGAAATGAGACTAATGGACCAAAAGAAATTTTGACTAAGTGTCTTATGAGAAGACAAAGTTTTCAATGCTAGGGTATTCACCTCAATTATTACAATTAAAAATGCGCATAATTATGTATAATTTTAATAAACACACAAAAATTGATATGGGTAATTTTTCGGAAAGTAGACAAATATCTTGTAGTTGAAATAATAATTACGCGCAATTTTATTGGTTCTTTTTTCATCTTTCATTCGTTTCATAGTTGGATGTGTTGTTGATTTTTTCATCAAGTTTGGCGGACACACTCTTTAGATACAGCAGCAGCACAATTCTCGCATTCACTCTGGGGGAGGGTCGTCGAGTTTGAGGCCAGCAACGCTGAAAATACACTTTTACTTTAGCCACTCCAGAGTACAAAAATGCTAAGCCAAGCGGACTTGTGGGAGATCAGGGTGTTAAGAATACAGGGAGGGCGGGGGGACCTGGCCACCAGAAGCAGATTTTTACTTGATGTCGTCAGCACGCTCCTCGCGTGGCTTGGCGCCTCCGAAGATGGAGATAGACTGGCTCGTCTGAGCCATGCTGTTCACCGGCTCCTTCACTGTCCTCTTGTCTAGCTGCAGGCGTGGACGCTCTGACGTGCCTGGGACAGATTTTATTCCAATTAATTTTCCCAAAATTGTGCCAAGACACGTCTCCTACTTGCGACAGGTACAATGTCTGGTCGCGGCCGTGGAGCAGCGTCGCCTCTGGGTCTCTGACCTGGGCCGTCACCCCCGCGGCCACCAAAGCCGCCATCTCCTCCTCTACCACCAAAATCTCCTCCTCGGCCGCCACCGAAGCCTCCACCTGCTCCGCCGCCACCACTTCGACTACCCCAGTCTGACGTGGATCGTTGATCCTGAAATGAAAGAAGTAAATAAAGTTAAATAAAGAAAAACGAGAGGAAAGAATTTTTTAATTTAATTTATTTATTTTAATAAATATAAATACAGGAAGTGAAAAAATGATGAGGTTATGCAAATTATACAAATGATCTCAATTTAATTCTTCCAATGTCATAAGTGAGTCCTTTCAACTGTTTATGACTAAAATTTTGAAGATTTTAAGGCATTTATTTTACTTCATTATATGGATACTAGAAGGTACAACATTTTTTTTAAAAATATTTAAATTATCTTCTTTCTAGTTCTGCATTTCAATACAAAACTAAGTATTTAAATTAGATTTCTTTTACATCTCTGCTTCTCGCTATTTTAATAACTTGATTGAAAAGCTTACCTGTTGAAAATAGGAGCCTCTGTTTCCTCCCCTCTGCTCACCAAATGAGCCCTGGGAAGCACCGCGAGGTGGTCCTCGTCTGTCGTAACCACCAAAGTCGTCGAAGTTGCCGCCGCCTCTGGGTCCAGATCGGCCACCCCCGTCACGGAAGGGTGGTCCGCCTCGGCCTCCCCCACCAGGACCTCCGCGGCCTCCTCTGAAGCCGCCCCCGCGATCTGAGCGTTTTCCGTCGGCTACATCAACCCGAATAAGTTTTTCTTCGATTTCAACCAAGCCATCCATTTGAAGGGCAGCCTCAAGGCTTTGCCGTTCTTCAAACTCAACGTAGCAAAAACCCTGCAAGCATATAAATTGATGAATTTTTGTAGTTTCATACACAAAATAACTATACGCTAGCCACATTGTTAGTTTAAAATATATGGGAGCCACGAAATTTGCCAAATCGTTTTTTTTTATAAAAAGCTCTATTTTAAATAAGGCTCTTTCATATTTAAAATCTGTGACTAAAAACTTGCAGGGAATGTTGATTAATACATGAATGTAATTATTTTCAAAATTTTGATGACTCATTTATGAAAAATTTAAGCAGCTTGGTAATGCGTTAATCTTTAGGAAATAAGTGTTTTTTTCAAAACCCAACAATATCTTAAACACATAGAATTATTGAATTTCTGGTTATTTCAAGGAAAGCACTTTGATTTCATTCATCAAAGTCTGCATCTTGTCCAAGCGATAAAAAAGCACAGAAATTTTAAGCTTGGTCACCAAATTTCTCCTCTTTTCCTTTAACGAGCCAACAGATTTCCATGAAAACAAAAGTGACAAACTTTGAGTGAAATTAATTGGCTGTTTCTAGCAACCGTCAGTCCTTAAGCATAAGATCTTCCGGTCAAGGGCACGGTCGGGGCGGCACCGTGGTCCCTCTAAAATCAAAGTCTAGGTCCTGAGGAGGGCAGCTCTGAGCGCCGACTCACCTTAAATCTGTCCGTCTCCTTATCCTTGACCAGCCGAACGCTTTTTATCTGCAAGAGAGATTCACAATTAGTGTGAATTCGGAAGCACAGAGGCGAGACTCGGAGGGACACAAGCCAAGGGATCGTCCCGGCGAACCGCAGGGGGCGGGGCATCACTCACCGCCAATTCCGAGAAGATTCTGTGAACGTCGCCCTGGACGATTCCATGCGGAAGGTTGCCTACGTAGGCGGTGTAGGGTGGCTCGTCAGGCAAAGGTTTTCGGCCTCCGCCACCTCTCCTGCCTCCGCCGCCCCCATACCTGAAACAAACACGCCGTCGCGGTCAAAAAACCGGTCTTGCTGTCATCGCCTACAGCATCGTCCCGGCACATCCAAAAGATTTGGACGTGCAGGGGTCAACCGGCCAAGGCTGTCGGCGTCGCCTTCTTCAGGCGGCACCTATATGAAAGGTCACTTTTGGCCAAAAAACCTACCCTGAATCGGAGTGTCCGTAATCGTCTCGCCCCGCCATGTTGGGATGCGAGCCCATACCAGGCACGACTAATCGAGTCAAAGGGTATCTTCTAATAGAAGATAATTTGCAAAAATTTATATTTAAAATTTAACAAACATAAATACAATTTTTTTTAAATAGTTTAATGTTGGACATACTTCTTGAATTATCAAAGTTTCAAGAGTAAATTGAGCTTATCGAGAAGTTGTGCCTGGTGACTTTTGTTGTTTGCGATTTGCGCCACCACACGTGGGAAACGGGAATCTCATTAATTGGATTTTGCAAAAATCGAGAGGCGGCAAAATGCACGAGCCCCACCAGCCCACCACTCTGTACAACGCGTAATAACAGCAAGTGTCTATAATAATTATATTATAAATTTGTTTACAAAGAAACATGTAGCATGTGATTTCTCGTAATACTCTATAGAAATCAAAGTAAAAAAGCATAAAATTAAAGAAAAAATTGGAAAAAAATCCAAGAAGAGGAAAGAGCTTTCTCGCTTTATAATGATAAGTCAACAACTCAACACGTACAATTTTTTGAAAGGTATAAATTTATTTGCATTTCTCTTGATACAAGACGGATACTATGAGTGACACCAATTCCTGAGTAAACAAGAAAAAATGTACACAAATAAACAGCATTATATATTCCCTGTTGTGAATTTTTTCTAAATATGTGAGCAGCTTCTTTTTGGCGTACCATTCTTCAGAATGCGCGGCTCGAGGAAACTGGTTAGCTTTATGCGACTATTAAAAGAAGAAATTGGTGATTTTGTCAATTCTACATCAGTGCACGGCCTTAAATTCATTATCAACAGCAACACCTTGGCGGAAAAGTAATTATTGTGCATTTGTTTATCAGAAAATTTTATTATTATATTTGAATCAGAATGATATGGTTTTGTGTGAGCGCGTTTGCCGTTCTTGGCACCCTTCTGATGGCCAGCACCGTCTGGCAGGCGTACCGAGCGTCGCCGACGCAGACGATTGTTGAAAATCCTAGTTTCCCGGTTTGGAACGTAGACTTTCCGGCTCTGACTATTTGTAACCTCAACAAGGTGCAGCACTCACGGGCAAAAGTTTTGATGGGAGAGTAAGTGTTTTTTTTTTCAATTTCACTAAAAATACGATTTTTAAATTTCTTATAATTAAAAAAATAATTTATAATTATAGAATATTGGGAAGCAATGTTGATAACGAAACGGAGAAATTGTTTATGGACTCGCTGTTTGCTCTTGGGATGTTGCGCTACCCTTATTACCATCATGCGCAACTTTACGTCAGGCGAGGGAATAAAAATTTAATGGACTTTGGAAAATATAATCTCACCGAGTTAATGATGAAAGTATAAGTGAAATATTATATTTAATCAAATTTGTTGAAAATATTTGGAAAGGTGATGGCGAAGCAAAATGAAATGTTTGGAACGTGCTATTGGAAGGGCAAAGAAATTCCGTGCAATGTTGCTTTTAGACTGCAAATCACCGAAGAAGGTTTTTGTTATTCATTTAATTCACAAACATCTGAAGACCCAAATCCCCCGTAATATTATGAAAAAAGAAAATAATGCTTGAAATAATATATTCATAAATTTAACATAGAGACATGGACTCGCCTCCGTTTCACTACAAAAATGGCAAAAAGCAGCCGTGGAGAAACAACGCCGCTGGAAAAACCACGGGGCTTGAGGTGTTTTTCAAATCTTCTGAGCATGAGTATTTACCCGGAGATCAAAGGACTCCTGGATATAATGTTGTTGTTTTTTGTTTTTTTCAATCAATACATAACACTGAGATTTTAAAATTTCAAGCTAATTGTACACCATCCCTCTGAATTTCCGGACGTGGCACGTGCACTTTTCCTGACACGAACCAACAAAAGGGTGACTCTGCTGGCCGCGACGGCCTCGCGAGTCAAGGCCAGCCCGGAACTGGCGCGGCTCTCGCTGGAGGAACGCGGCTGCACCCTCGACTCCGACGGTCAGGATGAGGTGCAGGAAAATTGCAAGGCGCGCTGCAGGGTAATGACGATTGTCAAGCAGTGCCAATGCGTTCCTTACTTTGGAGTTCGAAGGGTTCCAGGTAAATCAGTTCTAAAAAATATTCGATTTTTAAAAAAAACGTTAAATTTATTTAGAAAATACGCCTCAATGCACAATCAAACACGCAAAATGCCTGGCGTCATATAACGGTAATTTGAAGTTATTTTGAATTTTATTTGAATTTTAATTAATTATTTCACTGAAGCACAACAACGGAACATAAGACCACCTGAAGGGAGCGTAGGCTTCAGAAAAACCGATTTAGGAAATTCGATCAACTGCTCTTGCCCGCCTTCTTGCTCCTCAACTGATTATAAAACAGACTTTTTAGTTACTCACAGGTTTAAAATTTTTTAAATTTATATAGTGTTGCTATGAATAAAATGTTTTCCAGGATGGATCCTTTTGTATATGATGATTATGCATACTTGGATTTCTTTTTCAAGGATCTTGAAATTGTCAGTTACGTTAGAGATGTCAAGTTTGGAATAATGGATCTCTTAGGTTTTGATTTTTTTCCCTGATTGATTTCCCTTGATTTTTTTTTTATTGCCTACAAAATTTGCTAATATTTTCTACTTGGCAGTTTCTTTTGGAGGACTTGCCGGCCTTTTCCTTGGCTTCAGTTTAATTAGCGCCGTGGAAATGCTCTATTACACCGTTAGATTCATCATTCGAATTGTGGCTTTGGTTTTGAAGAAGAAAGACGTTGACGGCAAAAAAGCTGCACCAAACAAGAAATCTGTGGAACCTTTCACATGGACAGTGACTGGGTATTATCCTTGAAGAACGGCAATATTTTGCCTTTCTAGAATTTCTTGTCTAGCTTTTCGCAGAAACTCCTCCTCTAATGCAATATTCTTTTTGGCCTTTTCGCTTTCCTCCAGTAGCACCTTGTTCTTTAAAAATAGTTATTAAAAATAAAATGAATATAAGAACATTGCTTTTCGTGTTAATTTTACTTTTAACTGCTTGGAGTATTCCATCTGCTTTTTCAATTCCTCTCTATAGGAGAGTTTAGTGAGCATAATTTTTCTGCGCTCGTCTTCCTCCTCCTTTTTAAATTTAGCGATCATCTCTGCCGTCTTTTGAGCTTCTTCTTCGCGCGCCGCCTTTTCTGCCTGTATTTGCTTTTCTCTCTCCTTTTTCTGTTCGAGCCGTTGCAGCATCACTTGCTGTAAAAAAATGGAAAAATCAAAATTTTCATTTATATTGAAAAAATAAATAAAATAAAATATACATGTTTGAGCTCTTTTCTAGCCCTCTCTTTCTTTTGCATTTCCTCATCTTCTTTGGCCATTAACAATTCGAGCTCAGCTTTTTTCACTTGGTCCAGTTCCGTGCTCTCGTTTAGAATAAGCCTTTGCGTGTCCTCAAATCTACTTCTCGATTCATCCTTTGCTTGCTTGATGGCCATCTAAAAAAGTATTATAAAAACAATTTTTTTTTAATTTTTTCAGGTTTTATTTTACCATGTTGAGTTTCATCTCTTGCTGCTGCCTATCAGCAAATTGATCAATCATTGATTTTTCTTTTGCTGCAAGTTCAAGATCTAGTTCCTTCATTCTCTTTGTGAGCTCAGATTTCTCGCATATTTGTTCTTTTAAATTTTCCGCCACCTGCATTTTTTTCCTCAATTTATCGTCGTGACCTAAAATAATGAGCAACCATATTTTTTGTATTAACAATTACAATAAATTATATAAATATATGCTACTTTTAACAAAATTAACCTTTTTGTTTCTCCAATCGAAGCTCCTCTGCTAGTTTTTCCGCCAACTTGAGCTCTTCGGTTTTTCTTATCTCTGATTCCATGAGCGCCGCTTTTCTCTTTTTATCCAGTTGCTCATTAAGAACTGATCTTGTAAGTTGAAACATTTCACATCGGCTCTTAACGTTTTGCTCTGCTTGTTGTTTCTTTTAAAAGTTAAAATAATGAACATATTATTTATTCATAAAATTATTGCTGATTTTTGTTACCAGTTCCTCTTGAATCTGCTTTCTAAAATTAATTGCAAATTCGTCTGCTTCCTTTTCTCGTTTTTCTGCAGCCTCCCGTTTCATTTCTCGCTGCGCCTCCTGCTCTTTCTTTACTCGAAGTTTATTCTGCTCCACTTCAAGATTCCGAATTTCTTCATTTCCCTCTCTATTAATTTTCTTTAGTAATTTGCAAGAGATAGAAAATAAAATTGTTAACTTGTATTGCTGAATTTTCTTCCTATGGACCAATTCCTTTCTCTGTTGCTCCTGCTCACTGTTGATTGAAGCGGCTTTTTGCCTCAAAACTTCCAGCTCCAAATCGCGTCTCTGTTTTAAATAATTGTGGTGCTCTTCAAGAAGTGATTTCTCTTCTTTGGATAAAAGTTGACTTAAACTTTATAAAATAATTAATAATTTAAACAACATTAAATTACAATATATGTTTCACTGACCGGCGCTGCCTATGAAACAGTTCCTGGTTACTGAAGTTCAGGACGGAGCTCACAGCCTGCTTGGCTTGCCCAATTATGGCTTTTCGAGAAGTGTCAGTTTCAAATTCGATATGGCAACCACCAACCCTCATAGACTGAATACTATTTTTGTGACTCTGTGTTCTGATTTCTCTCTGCCTTTGCTCTACCATTTGCTTATTACGGTCCTTAAGAATTATATTGAAATAAATAATTATACCCACTAACAAAACTAAAAGGGATTTAAAAAATCAATGATATCATACCTCGACATATCCTCCCCGGCGTGGCATTTTTGCTGCTTTTACAGCAGAACAGTTTAACGAGCTATTTCCCGACGGTGCGCATTAAACACCGCAAGCGTCACCCTGGCAACCAACCACCCCTTGTGTGAAGTGAGAAGCAGTAAAACATAGTTTGTCATATTATTTATTCGCTTGGATTTTTTATTATTTACTCTACACATTTTTGTACAAATCAATTGAGGGCTCGCTTGTGCGTAGCGGTGTGGTCATGAGTAACATCAACATAATACTGATATTGAAGTTGGGCAAGCTGCATCGTTGTTGCATGTAGTTCTCCAAGAAATAAAAATATCCGTCTTGTGGGGGAAGTGAATACTGATCAAAATCATCACGGGTTAAAATGTTACACATAAGTTAATCAGCAAATCAGTCTTAACTTAAAATTGCTTTTAATTTGTATAGCAATCTCTTGAAATTTCTTTTTATGTACAATTAAATTGTGACCTTCTCTGGGCTCTCTTGTACAAAATTTACATATTTACACAGAAATAATGTGAGTTGAACAACACCAACAAAAATTATTAATGTACAAAGTGTGGAAGCCAATCTAATAAGAGGGTAAACTTGGCCAAACAAATAGCATAATTTTAGTGGGAAAGTTGAATAAAAATTTAATTATTTTGTTTTTATCAAAAGCTGCAAATTAATTTGAAATTGAAACTGAAATTTTCAACAGAAACAACGATTCTTGATTTAAACTCCTCTTAATTTATGATTTGAGGCCAGAAAATCAACCCTTTTATTGCAAATAGTTTTTGCGGTGCTCACTCACAAGAGCGGTTTGTAAATTGCATTATTTCAACGAAACAGGTACACACAGCTGAAGCAAGGTCCTTTTCTTGCTACTAAACAATATGGCACAGCTACCTCCGGCCAGCAGCGGCCGCCAAGATCACAGAGGCGGCCACCAACTGCCACGGAACGAATCGCACAGGCGCACTCGAGTACGTCCACTTTGCGCTTTCTTTGAGCACGGCCTCGGCCATCGGATCGAGCAGGATGACATCCTGTTGAGCGGACACGGCCGCATTCACAAAGTACTTGTCCCCTGTGGTCATCACGTCGAACACGCACCACTCGAGGTAGGTTGAACTGAGGTTCTGGCCGCCGCAGAACTGCAAAGCCGCCTCCCTGGTCAGGGCCACTGGCTGAGTCACATCAGCACTGGAACGGAGCTGCTCCCGAATGGGACACCCGAGGGCGCACAACTGCATTGATCCCTCGGAAGTGCCCTCTTCGGGCAGCGCCAGGTCAAGGGGCAACTGCGCCGAGAAGGACAGAGCACCGGCCAGCCGGTGCACATAGATGTGTGCGGCCAGGTGCTTCACCTTGATCTCCATCTTTTCATTGTGCTTGATTACTCGGAGCTGCACACTGTGCTGGGTGGAGTCGCCAGAGCTGGTCGAGCCATCCACAAAAGTTTCCGGCAGGTACTCAGCCTGGGCTTCGTACACTTTTTCACGGGTGCAGGCAGACATGCCTCCTTTGATGATCACAGTTATCTGCAATATCAAAATAAAATTTTGTGAGATAAGTTTATTCTAATAAAAAATTCATTTTTACTGATAAATTATATAGAAAACATTTGATTTCCAAATAAAATAGGAAATTCAAAACTTAATTTTGTTAAAATTTTTAATTTCAAATGAATGCTGTTTTTTTCCATTAATTTTTCTTTGAATTACCTTTGTTGTTACAGTGGCATAGGATCCTGGTCTGACAGGCTCATTGGTGACCTGCACAGCAAGGTAGCGCGAGTCGATTAGTGGCCAGGCGCCCTGCACCCTGCACGTCTGGAAGTGGCCCTCGAAGGTTTTGAGGTGGGGGTCACCAAAGAGGCCGCAGTGCCTCATCTCCGGCTGCGATCCCTTGTAGCTGCAGTCGAGAGGTTCCTGCGGAGGCGCCTCACTCGAGGGGGCGAAATCGTCCTCCGGCCTGCCAGGAAACTCGATGGGCCTGGGGCTGCTGGGCGGCGGAGGTCCCTGAAGGATGCTCTGACACTCTCGGTTTTCGAACAACGTGTTCAATCCCTTGTGGATGACGTGGAAGTTGATGTTGCCCTTGCATCCACGCCGCGCCCGGTGCAGACATGACAGGTATTGGTTGATCTCCTGGCAGAACTCCCATTTTTGGTTTTCCAGCGACATGAAGCCGTCGTGTGCGTGCTGGCATTCCTCCAGCTTACAACCAGCCCTTGCATATCCAAAGCCAACTGCTGGACCTGGCATAATATTAGAGGAATTACGGATTAGAACAATAAATTTTATCATCATAATATCATAACTATTACAAATAGCAAAATGTTTGAAAAAATTAACCTTATTTTACAAAAAATTCAGATATGGCAATTATCAACATTGAATTCTGTTAAATTCTTGCAAATATATATATATATATATATATATATATATATATATATATATATATATATATATATATATATATATATTGATAGCTGACATGAGTGGAAAAAAGTATTTTTTCATGGGACATTTCCTTGAAAAATGAGGGGTATTTGAAAAGAAAAAGGGAAACTTACCGATGATTGATTGCAGCAGGAGAAGTGACAGTGCCCTGAGCCACCAAGTGCCCTTCGCAGGCCACACGCTGGTCCATATCGAATATTGCTCCATGTTGATTATTTGCATCGCGGCTTCGAGCCGCATCTACCTCATCGCTTACATCGGCTTACAAGCGACCTGCAACAAAACCAACATTCACTGGTTAGATTTTCTTCGAGGAAGATTAATTTACACTCAATGTTCTAATTATATGAGTAAAAAATAGATTCAATAAATAAATTTAATGTTTTGTATTGTTTGTTTTAAAACATAATTTCCCAAGTGGCAATGAATTAAATTAAATTATACTTAAAAAATTTAAAAAATATTTGCACAGTGTCTTGAAAGTTACAAATGATGAAATTGATAATAAATAATTAATAACCGGAAATCTGTTTGATATTATATTAAATTTAATTCTTTGACATATTTATTTTTGTTTCGTTGAATTGATTTTTGGGGTCTTTTGAAGATTTTCGTTTGTGTCACTACGCTAGGAAACTCGAGCTCTCTTTCTCTCACCCCTCAAATTAGCCGGGGGAGATTTACACTTGGGATCAGTCAGTATTTCTGTTCGGAGGAAATATTTGAGGCTTTAGCGTGTGTGAGAAACAACGCCTCCGCCCGCCAAGAGCGAACACCTGTAAAAATAAAAATAGTCGCGCGGGCGGACGGACGGACGGACGGAGCGACTTTTCTTCTCGAGTGTCTCTCTTTTTGAGACTTGCCGAATTCGCGGTGCTGCGAGCAGAATTAATTCCGACTGCCAGTCAGACGGAAATCGCAGCGACCTATTCATGCACGGCGTGGATTTAGCGTTTGTTTCTGCACACGCAGGATGCAGGTGTTCGACAAAAGAGAGAGAAGAGAGCGCTTTAATTCCGAGACATTGTTAATTACTGTTGTGTCCGATGCGCGATTTGAGGTCTCGCGCGCCGCTGCTGGCACTCAACTGACTCAAGGCTCAAGGCTGGCACTCGCGGTGTTTTATTATAGAATACGCGCAGGTAACTAATTGGCGCGTTTTAGAAAAGAGGCACGTCGCACCGTTCGCACTTTTGCTAAAAGTTTCGGCCTCGAAAGTGCGACCAAATTCCTAAGCCAATGGATTTTGTGCTCTATTGATGTTTGATCTGAGTGAAAACTCACGATACTTGATCCATTTGGCTCACAATCAGTTTATATCAAACGTTTTGCATGACTTGCCAACAGAGAAAATAAATTCACGTTGAAGAATTTAACTGATTTTCTTATTCTATTGACCGAATTGGCTGAAATTATGATAACACACTAAAACCTGGATCAAACTTCTTATTATAATATATTTTATCATCAATTTTCCTTCCAATTTAACGTTGTTATTAAAACGGCTTCAAGGTAAGTTGCAAAATATTATACTTTTATTATAATAAAAAAAATAACAAAATAACTAAACATTTTCAATGTTGACTTTCCAAATACGTGAAAAATGTGCTAGGGAGGGAAAAATAAGTGCTCACCGCATCATGAAATAATTTGATTTTCGTAAAAAATTAAAAACGGTAAATTCTGATTGAAATTTGAATTTAAAATTGATTTTAAAATTAAAGATTTATTAGAAAATGTTCATAATTATTTTAAAATTTAAAAGTGTGTTGTGTTGTTCAGCAATATTTTTTCCCACAATATCTCCTCAGCTTTTGTGGTGGAAAAAATCGAGATAAGGCTCTCTGTCGTCTGCTCGCTGCGCCTTCGGAAGAATAAAATTTCAAAACTATCTCGGCGTCTGATCTGCTCGCCGTGCAAAAAGTCGGCACATAACGTCCGAGGCTCCAACTTGCAAATATAGCAGCCCCACAATACATTATACGTTCGGCCAAAACAGCAGAGATTTGCATAATTCGAAAGAAAGAAAAACTCGATCTGCGCCTCGGGGCAGCCGTGCTGTAATAAAATTCATAAGTCTCTCCTGCTCTTAAGTCGCAGCTTGAATGAAAACCAGGCGGCTAATTACTTATCAGTTTACAAGCGCTGTTTAATCCGTTTAGAGAGGGAAGATAACGCCGTCTTAAGGCAGAATGAGAAAAGTCGTAAAATTTCTCGAGGAAAAAGTGGTACGAAAAAGTTCTGAAAGAAGTTTGGAGCGTGTGAGTGGCGCTATCAGTTTTGCTTATTAAAAGAACACGAGTAGTTTCACGTGTATTATTATTATTAAGCACGGGCAGAAACGCGGCAGCTACTTTTTCTCTCCAGCGCGGCGGACAGAGATAAAAACAGGTTTTTCTTAATGACACACACACAGAAGAGGCATAGCATAGCGACTCTTGGAGCAGATTTCTTTGTGTGTAAAAAAGGAGAATAAAACAAACGCGAGCGAGAGAGAGGCCCAGCGCGTTCGTGCTTTGTGAATTATTAATTTATTGTTCTTCGGCGGACTGGATTCAGATTGGACGTTGCAGATTAGGCCGCGCAGCAAATGGCGCTTTGTCTGACGTGAATTTTCTTTCCTTTATTATTTTTGCTCGCCGCGGAATGATATGCATCATTAGGGCAGCGCGTACGTCTTTTTGAATTTATTTAAACATGTGTATGAGAATATAAGAAAAGCACGATAAAAGTCGGCGGGAATGCGAGAGAGAAGAAGAAAAAGGCCGGTTGTATGGGAATAAAAAAGAGAATCTGAAATGCAGCAGCCACGGGGTGGGAGTTTGGCCCAGCTTTTGAGATGACTAGACAAGACAATGGACGCGTTTGCACAAACAATGGAAACAAGACCAAATTAGCCTCGAGTGTTAGCCGAGTAGAAGGAAAAATTAACAAGGGCTAGCTTATTTGGCAAAATGCTCTAATGAGCGGACAGAAGTGTCTGATTTTGAAAAGAATGCACGCCAGTATAAAATGGTTTTTTGCCAATTCCGTTTTCCACAAAAGCTTGCCCCTGATACAAATATAATAAAAATTTAAAATCTACATTGTTGGCCTTGTTATGAAACTCTAAGAAAAGAAAAAAATTAATAAAAATGTTTTTTGTTCATGCATTTGAGGATTTTTTAAAATTAAATTTCACGATCGTAGCATTTAATTCCACAATAGATCAAAATAAACACGGTATCTTCTTTACAATTAAGAAAAAGCGATTGTTGACATCCGATGAATCAACTGCAGCATCAATAAAGGATAATTTTTTGTGTGAAAATATGCATGGAATTTTTGACCGCTATTAAAAATTGTGCAACTTTTCGTGTTCAGGGGAAATTTGAATGCCCGATTTTTTTTCTCTCGAGCCTTCGTGGGAAAATTGCCCAACTCTTCATGCGCGTCCTGCACGGGTGGCCGACCGGGAGCGACACCCCAATCCTCTTTCTTATGCAATGAAATTCTCTTCGCACCCCGAGCCTTTCTCTGTCTCACTTCTCAACTTGATTTTTTTTTCACCCACGCACGCACTTTTTAGAGGAAAAGGAAACGACTTGTGCAGGATCAGCGTTTCTCACACGCGCGCCGTCTTGTTTGTCCACGTGTTGACCAAACACCCGGCGGCTAATTGTACATAGCAGAGCGTGTATCGCTCATTACACTTCTTCTATGTAATGTATTTTTCCTCTTGCGCCAGGAGTGAAGAAAAATCGCGTACGAGTTTGATTGTAATTTATTCACGAGAATAATCACAAGTAATGCGTCAAGAATGGATTCTGAGAATGGAAATGTGGAGCGTGTTTAATTAATGACGCCTTGGCTTTGTTTCACGGAGTAACGGCGTTTCGCTTTAAAAGGTCGCAATCAATCGATAGCTAAATTTGGGCAAACGCACCGCAACGGTTTAATTGCGCACATTAGATTGAATCACTAATTCAAAGAAATCACGTTTGAATCTCATTAATATTTATTTATCGTTATAATTTCAATTGTTCTATAGAGCCGATAGACGTTTTTACTGAACTACAAAATAAAAAAAATAAAAAGCAAATTTTGTTGTTTCCTTAGCAAGGTAAATCATCCATCAAGCTTCTGTGACATTTCAATCTAATCAATTCTTCTAAAACTCCAATCTTTGTTGTAAAATTGTTGTAAAATCCATCATATTTCTGGATCCCTTTTTGAAAGCTGACAATTATAAATATTATTTCCAAGACGTGCATTTCCTGGAACCCATTCAGAAATTTCCACAAAGAAGACGAAATGGGAATAACAACCCTTTATCACAATACACGATTTTCTCCTCACTTTGGACGAGCTGGGCCCTGCAACAATATTTGACCAAAACTTTATCATCTTTGGGAGATAAGGTCGTCAAATTCAACAGGAGGAACACGTGCACGTGAATTTGATTAGAAAATTCCTGCGACACCCGGGAGTAAAAATTTAACACCAAACAAATGCGCTCGGTGGTGGTAAATCTGCTTAGCTGTCAAGGAAAAGATTTTTCTCTCGCTCCCCCCCTCGTACCCTCATGTGCAGCATCCTCTCTTCTTCTCACTTCTCCAGATCCCCAACCTGACCACATGCACAAAGAAGGTGAGGCTCTTTTTTTCTCTGCGCTCGACCCAACATTGTTGCCACGCCGCGTTCCTATTTCTTTGCCCGCCGAGCGAGGAGAAAAAAAATAAAGCAGCCGCGCGCGAGAGACCGTCCCAATAAATTGGGGGCTGTTCGCTTGGTTTTTTTTGTCTGTACCCAAGCCTGCAATCACGTAACATGCAATTTGCGCATTAAATCATCTTCGTTTCTGTGATTCCGAATGCAACCGGCGGCGGCACTCGGATTAAACGATGTTTACGCCACCCTTCATTATTTTTTGTTTGCTTCGCCTCCGCGTAAATGCGGTGAAAATTGTTTCGAATGCCCTTCTCCGTTATTAAGCGATGAGCCTAATGTTGCGAACTGGAGCAAAAAAGGAGCTGGACCAGTTTTTGCACAGATTAGTGCAGACAAGGGCACAATATTTGTAAACGTCCTTCCTTTAATTACTGCATAAAAACTTAAATGGTCATAAAAGGTTGCAATTTTAGCATAACGACAATTTAAATAATTTAAATTTTGTAATTTAAAGTTTTTATTAAGCGTTTTCATTGAGCTTTATATTAATCTGAATGCTTGGTTTACTAAAATTTCTTTCCGTAAACACTAATTAAGAATTCAGCAGAATTCAGGTTTAAAATGGCTGGTTAAGCTGCTCTTTTTTAACTATATGTTTCAGATCATTCATTTCAATTTTAAATATTTTCTAAATAATGATTTATTGTAGTTTGGAGTGGTATTTTTCTTCCCTAAACTTTAAATTCACAGAATATGATTGAAATTAATAATTATTTGATATCATATCAGAACTTGAAGCATTTGAAATGCTTCACTAGTGTAAAATAACACGATTTAATTTTTTTAGGTAACTATTTTACGATCTAACATTAGAAGACAGAATGAAAAAAAAATTGCATTTTTTTACACAAAATATTTTTTCTTTCGAAATATTTACCTTCCCACGGCTTTATTTTGCATTATCGAAACAGAAAATAAGTAGAGTTTCCTAGTTTCTTATTTTCTGTCAAAGAAGAAAGAATCCAAATAAAGAATGAAATTCATTCTCACTTGAGAGGATCCCTTTTGAGCAAAAGGAAGCGAACTTTGGGGCGGAGGATAATAAAACGCGCAATTCAACAATTAGGAGAGGCCGCAGGTTTTGTCACAAAAGGAATTCCGCGCAGATCAAAAAGCAGCGCCACGGAAAACAGGATTTCATTTTTCAGTGGGTGCCAAAAAACGAGAAGGAGGCGCGACAATAAAATGAATAACATAAAATATGAGTCGGAATATGGAGGTGGAATGGGAGGGAAAAAAGTATTGTCCGCGCTGCTCTTCTCGCGTTTTATTATCATTTGGGTTGCAATAAACCCTGGGCTGCGAGCACAAAGCAGTGGATTTTGTGTAGGAGGATTTTCTCTCTACCTGCTGGGCATTCAAAACTCAAGGTCTGCCTTAATTTTTCACATAGAGAATCCACGCGGGCGGCACCTCTGAAAAGGACGCGCGATGCAGCACAAAAGACGGGCGCACCTGACAACCAACAAAACAGAAAAACCAGGTGGATCGTGGAGCGGGAGGGAGGAAAAAGATGCAAGCAGGGGTGCTGCGGAAAATCGGCGTGACAAGGGATGGAAATGAATGAAAGAAGAGGCAAACGAATTCTCCGACCTTCAACAACTGGGGGTGAAAATAAATTAGGAAAAAGATCGTTATAAACAAAGAAGAGAAACCCCAGTTGATTGTTATATTTCAAATTACTCACAATTTGTGAAGGGAACTTTTTTCATTTAAAATTTGAAAAAAAAGTACAATTAATTAAAAAATTGTGAAGACATTGAGTCTACGTGAAGCTGCAAAGCTTAAAAGTTGAGATGAATGTGTTGTTTTTTTTTTTCTTTTTTTGGTGTTTTAATAATAAATACTTACAAATTATTTAAAAAAGTTAGGATTGATTCAGTTTGATTGAGACACTCCTAAAAATTCACTTAACTCAAATAAAAAAGAAAAAATAATGCTCCCACCAGATTGTCAGTTGAGTTTCGAAATTAAATGAGAGGCTGGAACTTTGTGTGAATCGAAAAAGGGAGTGGATTATTAATGCGGAGAGGATAAATCAAGAATTTCAAAACCAGGTGTTTCTGTCGTTGCTGCTGCAGAGACATTATATTTTCAATAGCGCAATTAGAGAGCTCGTTTGCCGCATTTCACACCCACAGGTACAGAGAGCAAAGAAAATTTAATAGGTAGGTGCGCCCGCGCGCGTCAATCGATAAAGCCGAGCCAGCGCAAAAATATACAGAAAACGCGCGCGCGGATAATTACCTCGGTAGAAACACGCGATGCCGGCGAGCTGCGCATCAATGAATTGTGGAGAGAAAAAACGCGACATTTCGCCGAATGCGAGTGGTTTTACTTGAAATTCGTGTTCAGCGTCGTAAATCATGCAAGGGGGTTTAAATATTGTTTAACTAGGACGACAAGTGAGATAATTTTGCGTGATTGATAAGCACCTGTGTTGATAAAAGGCTTACTTCGGAAACTGGGGCTTCACGCGTGTAAGACGTGTTTTTTTTCTCAAGAGCCACGCAGACTGTTGAAGATCGATCAGTTTTTAATTATTCTTATCTTATCGCAGAGACACTCAATAATATTTATTTTGAAATTGTTATTTTCTTAATAAACAGTACACCTAATTTTAGAATTTTATATATTTAACTTCAAATTTTTGAAAAACTCCACTACCACTTTGATACAACTGAATTTGCATTTTGAGATTTCTGATTCAACATTGAGAGAAGAGAGTTTCTATTAATTTATATTGTGGGCAATAATTACGTGGCATGTGCATCTAATTATCTGAATAATTAAAAAAAATATATAATAAAGTTTTAAATACATAACAAATTAACAAATAACTTAGAATTAAATAATAAACATGAATTAAATTTAAATATAAAATTATTAACAATAAATTTTACTTGATTTTAATGAATATCAAATTACAATATGTTTGTTAATAAAATAAATTCAAAACACCGAATGAAAATCGATATCTACCTCATATTTGTGGTCTGTGGGTCGTCCCAGGCTGCAACGTCCAGCTGTGACTTTGCGCCGTCTCTGCGTCCAGCTTTGCTGTCTGAGCCTCCGAACGCACCAGCCTCGGTGCTAAGCCTGTTGAGAATGAACGTCCCGTTCAGCCTGAGTGTCCCGGACTGTCCGAGCGAGGTGTCCTCGGGGCTCAAATGCCGTGAAAGCGAGAATTTCTCTCGCGCCGTTTCGCTTTGGGTCGCGAGTGGAGTCTTGCCAGGGTCAGAAGAGTTCTTTTTCAAAGGACGACCGTGTCCGAGAGCACAGACGGTGCAGGAGCAGCAGGACGATCTGCGGAGGTTTGCGAGGCGTCCGATGCTTCTAGTGTTGTGTTTTCTTCACACCATCTTGCTCGACCGACTCGGAAAGACGATTTCTCGCTCAGTTCGGCGCGGTTCGAGACTCGCCTTTCGTTTTCAAAAGCACGCTGAAAAGGAGAGGCTCGCGGAACAGCCGAACCCGTCGGGGGCACTTGTTAGCGACATCCAGCGGCAGTCTACGGAATCGCCAAATTCCACTTCTAAAAAAAAATCACGTAATAAGAGAGCAAGAGAGGACAAGAATTTATCACATTTTTGTAAATTTCGGATTTTAAAATATAATAAAATTTAAATTTATTTTTAAGATGTTTATTTTTAGTTTGTTTATCATTAATTAAAGTACGTATTATTGTATTTAATTATAATTATTATTTAATTACAAAAAAAATAAATTTATTTCAATGGTTTTCCTGAAAGCCCAGATGAAAAATTATTTTTGTTCAATAATTATCTCCCCATACTTCATACTCAAGTACTTTATTTTTCTTCAGAAAGATTAAAATTTACAATCAAAATAATTTTTTCAATAATTGTCTTATAATATCTATTAAATTTGAAAATTCATCTCTGCTGAACATTATGATCACTTTTATTTTTGAATTTGCATTACAAAAATTCGAATTGTTTCTTATTAATTTATTAGATTACATTTTACTTTCTATATTGCCAAAAAAATTAGCAATAAATATTTTTAGCCCTAAATAATTTGATGAAAGTAAAATTTATTTGATGAAAATTTATTTAAGAATGATTGAGATTTGTAAAAAAATATTAAAAAAAATATATATTTAGATAAAATATATAACATCAAATGGAAATTAAAATTATTCTCACAGGACAAATGTAAGGCGTAACATTGACAAGAAGGATTAAATCAAAATTGGTAGCAAAAAATCTTCAACCAATCTGCACGTTGAGGTCTGTTTTTTTATACATCATTCAACGAATTAAACTATAGCGTCTTACTAATTCCCACAAGTCGCGTTTTTCTGTGCAAATCACAAGTCGTGTTGCCCGCAGAGAAACACCTTGTCTTTAATTTTTTTTTACAGCACTTTTGATAAAGGAGATGAGATAAAAATTCGGCGTCGAACGTCTCTCGTGTGTATTTAAAGATTTTGTGATAAATTCGAGAAGAAGCGGCGAGGCCCCGCTTTTAGGAGAGATGCACATCTCAACCCGTTCGTGTCAGAGCACAAAAGTCAGCGTGTCTGCCTGAAAGATGCGAGACCAGGTTTCCGAGTACTCAACCTTGCGGAGGCATTGGGCCGTAAAAGCGACAGCACAAAATCTGTTTGCTGCCTTCACACCTACAAACAATTCTTTTATCGCGCGGCGCTCGTCGGTGACGAGACGAAAATAAAATTACAAAAAGTGGCCACGGAATAAAAAAAAAGTAACGAGTAATGTGCAGCGTCCTTTGTATTACCGACCAGGATGCTGGGAGGAAACGCGATCCTGATCGTGCATGACAAGCTTTACCATAGAAAAAACCTTCAACTGAAATTCAAAATAATTTTCACTCTGTGCCATTAGAACTTATACAAACCACGAGTCTGAATCTTGTTTCAACGATTTCACTGGAAAATTAAAAAAAAAAATTATTTATTTAAATTAAATTGTTTCATATAAGGTTAATAAAATTTAACATTTTTAATATTGTATTAAATCAATTTCTTTAAATTTAGCATTACTTTGTATTATCATTATATAAATAGATAAATTTAATTAATATAATTACAACATAAAAAGATAATATAACCAAATTTTTTTATATTAAAAAATTTAAAAACAATCTAGCTGACCGCGTTCAATTGAAATCGCAAAATTAACCACGAGGCAATTAAAATTTTTTTCTGTGTAGAATTTAAGTGCCCACATAGTGACTTTCATTAGAAATTAGAAGGAAAATAAAAATAAAATAAAACATATCAGCCAAAAGAAAAACAAAAATTAAGCTGTATCCAGGCTGCTTTAAAGAGTGTAAGAATATAAATACATAGTTCCAAATAATTTTTTTACTCAAAATAAAAATAATATCTTGGCTTATGTCAATTTAAAAAAATTCATCGTGTGTCCCAAATTTTTTTCACTTTATGTTGTGCCTGCACAAGACTAATAAAAAATAATTTGACGATGAAATCCAATTTAGGGCATAACAAATGTTTGCAAGTGCCAGTCAACAAGAAACTGCCCAGTGTGGATTAAAGGTGACGCTCATTGCGTAAAAGTACAGAGCAAGTTAATTTTCCCAGAATCAAATTTATACACCGACGGACCGCAGTCAAAACACACTAAACTTGTTGTTATTTGTTTGCGCTTAAGGTACGCGCGTGCTGTTGCCAATTAAGGTGTTGCTGCCGACTGGATTACTCTCGCCGCGTGTAAAACAATGGAAATACAAACTGGTAACACAACAATAAACACTGCTAGGCCCCTTTTGTGCGTCGCGCCGGCAGCCCGGCCGACTGGACAGCTTTCTGGCCCTGGATTTTCGTTCCGCCGGCCAGAGAGGGATTTCGCGTTTTAATATTCGAGGCGAGTTTCGGCACACGCAAAAACTGGATATGGATTTCAGATTATTTGTTTTATTATGCTATTGTCCAGTGGAGAGGCCATCTAAATAGGGTCTGCGCTACTTTTTGTCCTCCACATTGAGATGGTCATCAGATTTTAATGGCTTGAGACTGAGGGCTGAGGAAGTTTTGTAATTTAGTTTATAACAGCTAAAATCGCAAACAATTGTTTATTTAATAGTAATTTTTTTACACCAGTAAAATATTAATAATTTTCTTTATTTTGTTTAATTGTTAAACTTCTGTAATAATTTATATTAAATTTTTTTTGTCAATTTGAATATTGAAAAGTAAAATGCAGTAAAATATATTGTAAATAATATAAAGTTATATTAAAGACAAATTATATTCATTCAGTTGCATTTAATCCTTTCGGAGGCCTCCAGGATAAAGTTTAGATTTAAATGAGTTTTATGACAAGGAAAATAATTTTCTCTTGCGCTTCTTCATTTCATTTAATAAAAGGTGAGAGATATTCAATCTATTCGGACAGCAGGAAAAAAATGAGAGGCTCAAAATTTACGACTGAAAAAATCAGTCTGGAAATTAATTCCTCTCGGATGGGCCCTTTCGCACGGGGGAAGGCGCATTTGAAAGAGATCGAGAAAAGGGGCGACAAGGAAAAAAACAGAAAATATAATACAACTTCACGGGAAATATGACGAGTTATGATATATCTTGGGTGTAGGGACCGGCAGAAAGAGATTCCACCTCTGACGCTCTATTACAATGCAATATGTTGTCTGCTTGCGTATATAAATTTTTCTCGTTTTATTATTGTCGGCGTTTGGGATCGGCGCGCGGGGAAGAGAAGCGGCGTGGAGCATTTTGTTGGCCCAGCAGGTATTCATGCCCTATCTCTCGAATAAATCATCTCGCGCAGCCCAAGGACTCTCGAATTCTGACTCTCCTGTGATAATTCATCTAGCCTGGGATTATTTTTCACACCTCCATCTCAATAAGCGACTCGCTCCGACGTGTCTTCCAACAAAATTCTGACACAAGACCAATTTGTAAAAGCCAAGCGCATAGCTTATTTTTTTTCCTTGGAAAAATTAAACCACTTTTTCAGACCAAAAGCGTGAACCGGCAAAAATCGGTAAGGCGAGAAGTTGAAACAAAAGGGTGTGTTGGCAGGATGGAAAAAATTAATGTTTGATCGGAGAGTGCTGTTGAATAATCAGGCCCAGCCCTTTTAATGCATACCTAATGTGCTAACAGACAAACATGCGCTCCCACGTGTTTGTTCACAATGTTAACACCTCAAATTTGACTGTGTTTGTCAAACGTGACTGAGCTCAATTATGCTGCCGCGGTACTCTAAAAATATAAAGTGAACGAAAAATATAATTTCTGGATTTTTTTGCTTCAAATTTATTATTAAAAAAATTAAGGAATAAATTGAAAGACAACATTTTTTTGTTGGTTGTTTCATTTGGCTCTTTATTTGTTAAAAACGCAGACGGAATTTAAAAAATTACAAACAATATAAATTTGGTATAGTTTAAGTTGAAATGAAGATCTTTTTATAGTGTTGCTGTTTCCCATCAAAAATATTAAATTTAACTTACAATTAGAAAATTCTTGATTTAGGTATTTATTTCTTTACAAATATTTTTTAGCCTGAGAATAGTGAGCTGCGTTAAAGTATATCAAGGGAACGGCGGGCGTAATGAGGAAACGGCCTATTATTTGAATGGGCCCGTATCAAGACGCGCTCTTTTTATTGAATAACCACCACGCTCAGCTTTGATTATGCCTCTCTCAACCGCACGCATCATTATACCATCAAGCCGCTCTTTATCTAAGTAGGAAAATTACAAGCAGCCCAACACAATCACTGCTACCACTTAAATAGCACTAAACTCAAGAGTGGTATGATTTTCGTTTTAAAAGCGATAAGTTATATTTTTTTCATTCAGTCATAATTCACGTGATTGACAGCTGCAGCATATTTTAACTTCAAACTTCTAGGGCACGGGAAGAAAGTCGGTTGACAAACGACCTGGCAGTTCTTTGTTTGTTATATAAAATTTATCGAGTAGGAGGCATTTAATCTTGTTCGAAAACGTGTTCTGCTGTCTGTTTTCTCAATGTACTCGCCGAGATGGAAGAAATCAAATTTTTCAATGTCACCGGTTGCTGTCATTACCATGACAATGAACACACGTCAAATCGCAAAGAGGTGATATTTATGCAAAATTTCAGCATCATTCAAGAACACACATGCTTGAAAAAGAGACCTACGAGAAAATATAAAAAATGAATAAAACAGGCGACGGCGACACTAAATTTATGCGAAAATTTTCCTTCATTCGCCTCTCTTATATATTTGCATAAAAATGATTCATTTTTATTTAATGGCAAAATCTCTCCGCCCAATCTTTATGAAATATGAACGCGTGCTGTCGGGCCGGGTTTTGTCCGGCGGGACCCGGCTTCTGGAAAAATACAATTTTACCAATTCTACCTTTCTCAGGTATAAAAGACGCTAGCACTGCCCTCTTTGTGGCATAAATGAAATTTAGACCTGAGCCGCCGAAATAGGCAAATGCTCGAATGCCTCTACCGGAGAAAAGGAAAATTTAACGCTGGTAACTTGGAAAGTCGATACCAGAGAGCAC